CCTCCGCGATCTCTCTGAACCAATTCCTCGACCACCGAACCCGCTTCCTCCCCTTCCGCGAGCGAGTAGCCAAGGAATCGCACCCGCGGACGGAGACGTACGGGCATAAATAATAAAGATAATAAAGCGCCGCAGAGGGCCTGCGTCTGCGTGCGCCGCATCTGCGTGCGCGCGTGGAGGTTCGCTTCGCTCGCGGTCGCGCCCAGTGCGCCGCGAATCTCACGCGCCGCCGCCCCTGCCGGCATCCCGTAAAATTCGAGAGCTAAATTCGAAGCTATCCGGACCGCACACATGAACTGTGTTGAGCATGCCTCCGTGTCCGCCTGCAGGGTGCTGCTCCATCGACGGACAGCCGCCAGCTCGCCCGGCCGGCCAATCGATCAATCCGCGGCGGCGGCGGCGGCCATGCCGTCACTGCTCGGCGGCCATGCATCCGGTTGCGTTCGGAGGTGAACGAAGCGAGCCCAAGGTTTTCATTTTCGAAAATTAAAATTTAATTTACGTTTTCACAGATAAAGAGGATAAACAGGATATATCGAAAATATCGGACCAAATTCAAATAAAATTTGATTTGAATTTAAGTAAATTTAAATAAATTTAAATAAAATTTGTACGAAAAAGATAGATATTTTCTTATCGGCACCTACGGATAAAAAAGATATATCGGAAATATCAGGAGATTTTGGCCGATAAAGAAAACCATGAGCGAGCCTCTGTGGATAAGCGCTCTGTTCGTTGTGGGTGGTTTGGCTTATAAGTCATGGCTGAAAGTACCGTCGGCCGGTTTGGCGTGAGAGAAAAATACTGTTCGTTGGCTGATAAGCCATGGCTTATAAGTCGAATACGACCAAACGAACGGGCTGAAGGAATGGACTCCGTTCTCTCCTAGCTAGCTACTCGCCTACCAAGCTAGCTCGGGTATAGGGAGACATCTTGCAGCGCAGATGTGCATGCATGGATCGATGGATGTAATGTGATGCAATGCAAGTGGTGCGTTGCTAGTGGAAACTTCACTTGCTCGTGTGCCACCTCTCGTACGTCTTGTTGCCACATATTCGAGCAACTTGAGATCGGGTGCGGTGCGGTGGTGATCTGTCTGTCTGTCTGTACGTCGAATCAGCTGGTCGTGCAAGTGGCTTACCTAGCTAGTAGTCCTCATGCATGGTTTCCGCGACGTCTCAAGATAAGAACGAGCATTATTACCATCTTGCTAATATTCCCAATCCCAGTCCCAGCACAAGGAATTCTAGCAAAAAAATAATATTCCCAGCATATATTTGCACCGCATCGCCTCAAGAAAAATCGCATCTTGTCTTATGCCCTAATACTAGTAACAAGCAGAATGCCGGTTAAGGACTTGGGCAGGTGTCAACACAAAATCTGAAACATTCACTGAACTCTGGTCTCTGAACATGCAAGTGCTTCAGCAGTGAACGAAACACAAACACTTTTAAGCTTATACATACCGTGGTATTCTGAATTGGAATACTAGCTCGGCAAAACATCGCAAGGAAATCTGACGACCACTAGCTATATTAAGAGAGATCAGGGGCAGTGGCTGGCAGCCGGCAGCTGCTCTTGTTTCACCCCTACCTTTCGCTGACTGCAGACTGCAGCTGTAGTCGTGAGGGCAACTTCAGCAGCAAGCATGCAGAGTATTTCTTGCTTTTCGATATTCCCAGTCATTCTCTCTCAGCTTTTGGGATACAATATCGACTTTATTCCTGGAGTTACAGCTCTTCCGGAGTTCCAGTGCTTCCGATGAGCCCCTGCTGACACACAACCAAGTACATGTGTTCCTTCAAAAGCATCGGCTTTTCCTCTGAAATCTGACTTTGTGTTCAGATCTGATTCCTGCAATGCCCTGCCCGGCACTCGTTGTTCAGGCTTCAGAGTGTGGTTTGGTTACCTTCAGGCATTTGGTAGAGTTACTTACTGGGAAAGTAAAGCATTTTTCATATTCTTTCAGCCTTGAGGAAGCTCACGGCTCACGGCTCACGCACAGAGCAGAGAATATTAGGAGGACGGGGAAAAAAACTTTATCAAGAAAGTAGTAGCTTTATCCTTATCCCGAGAACTAAAAAATATTAGCAAGATTGTTGTTCGATCTTTACCGCCAAGGGAATACTTGCTCCCATAGGAAATTGCAGGGTGGTTTTTGGATGATTCTACCATTGCTCCACTAGTAGTAGTACATCAGAATCTAGTTTCCTTTTCCTTGGCAGGTTATCATCCTTATTAACAAGGACCAACCTTCACCAGTTTTTTCATCAGATCAGAAATGCAGGTTCTAGTAAATCCAGTTTCATCCCTGTAAATTATTGTTTGGTTTGTAAATGACTAGCACCAAACTAAAAACATATTCTCACTTTTTTCTTTACTTAAAGATGGGACTTAAACAAGGTCCTCTGCAAGCACACAATGACCGGACCATCAGCAAAGGCTGTATGTTATCCAGTCCTTTCCACAGCTTTCCTAACTAGAGAACCATTCGTACGTTACGTCCATAAACAATCCATCTCTCCTCATTTCAAGATAAATCCATGGGCCATGGATCGCAACCAATCTCTCATTACCGACCGAACCCGACACTCTTCTGCCTTAATTAAAGGGAAGTTTTTAAGCGAGCGACGTGCACAATGATTATGGTGGGCGATATGCAATTAGACATCAATGGCTGGCGCTTAAAGTTGACAAAAGCATAATTTCTGCACTGACAGAGATTAAGGGGAAAAGCGTGGCCGGCCCTGCTGAGACTTATCTGAATACATGAGATACTAGTGCTACTAGTACTATCTGACTGAAGAAACATGAAATCTGGGAGCCATGAGACAAGATAGGCTCCCTGAAAAAATATCAAACAGAGACAGCAGGCCAATGGTCAAAAAGAGGAGCTTTTCATTTAAGTTTCCTAATTAGTGGGTGTAATGGCGACAAATCTCTAGCCGAAAGAATCGGCAGCTGGGCCTATTATAAATTTGCAATCCATTGTTGATTGGTATTGGTATGGCAGACACTGTTCTTTAACATTCTGACCATTGTTCACTTAAAATAAGGATTCAGATAGCATATGGCTTCAGGTAAGAGTGAGTAGGGCTTGATCAAACAAAGGCAAGGCGGCATTAATTCTCGGCGCCGCATATCAACTTGTCACTTCGCTCGTTGCGATTACGTGTAGCGCATTTTCCTGGTCTAATTAAGCAACTAGCTCACCCTGTGTAGGCAGATGATGATTTAACAGAGTGGAGTAATCGGCACACCGAGGTGTGAACTTGTTGTGATCCATGTTATGCTGATTGGGCAACTAAAGATGTAGTGATGTACCCTACCAGCATCTTGTCAGCTCTATTATGCAACAAAATAATATCTCTAGCTACCTAGATACTCCTTTGCGAGGCATTATTGTCGTATCAACGGACGCATCGATGCTGTTCGAGGTTCGAGAGCTGGAATACGCACAAGTGCAAGAATTCAGAAAACCGACAGACAAAATTCACACACAGTGTCAGCACACAGAAGAAAAGAGAGCAGGAGCAGAGTTGCTCTGACAGCTACAGACTATGTTAAGAGAACTGAGAACTGAGAACATGCAATAGTAGTGCACGCCGTGTGTAGAAAAGCCTGGACAGAATAAGCACAGGGCATAATATCATCGAGGGAGGCATGAGCTTTGGAACTCGTTCCGCTGCGAGGTACTGTAGAGGGAGAGGGAGATTTTTTTTCTGAAACTTTTTCCTGCTATCTCCCCAACTGAACATATATTCCTCTTTCAGACACTTTTCCTGCCTTCTGCATCACTACATGGTTTGAATTAGTCACTAAGCGAGCAGAGCTTGTTTAGGAGAGGAACCACTCTCTAAACCTAAACAGAATACGCACTGCACTTCAATATTCCATTGTTGCCAACACCTTAGGGGTCATTTGGAACTCAAGTCATTTCGCAATAATTGTTTAGAAATTTTACAGAAATTGATTCATTTTCACATGAAAAACATAGAAAACAGGAAAATTTTCCGCATTACAAAGGACCTAGACAGGCAGTGTCACTGAGTGATCAGAAACAGCCTGTTTGCTTGTTGGTTTCAGCCAGCCAAAACCAACCAGTCAACAGTGTTTTTTCTCACAATAAACCAGCACCAGCCAGCCCAAACCAGCACAGAAACCAACCAGCGAATAGGCCGAAAATCAAAATCGAGCGTGGATTCAAAAGGGAACCCTAGACGCTCCTCTCCTCATGCTTGTTTGTTTCTGACCATCGTTATTGTTATCTGCCGAGCGTTCGAATTGCAAGATCATGTAGAAATGGGGTCGCCGTCTCGTCGCCGGCATAGATTATTCACTCGTGCTGCCATTCATGTCTGTCATGATGCACCAAAACCAAAAGAGCTCGAGGACATGCACATCATTGTGCAGCTAGCTCATCACTCTGCCAGCAGCAAATAAAACACATCGCCCTTAATCTTTCTCCTAGCTTAACTTTCAGCATTTCAAATTCCTAAGAACATCAACAGATCATGATTAGGAAGTAGTGCTCCATAGCACTACTAGTCCACGGCTGACGTGGCAGAACATGTGTACCGGCGGACTGGGCAGCAGCTGCCTGCCCCCCTGTATGGCTGGCTCTCACCACACCAGCAGGTGACCAGGGCCCCTCTTTTTCCTCCCAGTCTCCCAGAATTCAAGCACCAATACGAGGGCGGAAAAAAAAAAGCAAAGAGTAGGGCGCGGCAGCGGCGGCGAGAGAATAAAAGCAGCGGCAGTGGCAGAGGCGAGAGGCACTCAACTACTCCTACTCGAGCGTCCAACGCCAACCCAACCCGAGCTCGCAAGCAAAGAAATCCCAGGCAGGCAGGCGTGCACGGCGCGGCGGGGAAACCAAACCCTCCCTGCGCAACCAAGGGTGAACCTGCAGAGAGGGGCAGCTCGCCGCCGTAAGCTTCCTTTCCCAAGCCTGAGCCACACGCGGTCGCCGCTCGCGCGAGAGAGCTGTATAAGTCGCCATGTCGGTTTCGTCGTCGCTGTCCAACTTCCTGCTCTGCTGCTTCTACCCGTCCGCCGGCCACCGCCACGGGCACCGCGGCGGCGCGTACTACTACAGCAGCCACCCGACGAGCACCAACACCCTGTACTACCACGAGGGCCCCTTCGCCGGGCGCAGGATGGGCCGGAGCAGCAGGCCGCTGTCGCTGCAGGTGCGTCCGTTGGCTTTGGGATTTGGCTCTGCTTCTCCTCCTCCGCCTCTGCTCGCGTGCTCTGTTCTTTCGCCAGGCATCAGGCATGCATGCGAAACAAACCACAAATGGCTGGCAGAGTAGATGCATGCAAGTACGGCGACTTGGCCATGCGAATGCGACGTGACATGCACAGATTTGTTCTGTGTCCGCCACCATTATTTTTTCGAATTCTTCGCACGTTTAATGTCCAGGAATTACTGTAGCTTGCGCTGTGTAGTCATAGTAGTTGCGTACAGTAATCCTGCACGCGCACGCCCCCTGTTGAAAACAGCGACGACCTTGCATGCAGCATGCGTCCTGAAAAGAAAGCGAGAAAGGGAGAGAGAAAGAAAAGAAAAGAAAAAGGAATACAGAGAGAAGCCTTTTTCTCGGTTGCTGAAGCTGAAAGCACCGGTGTCGAGACCAGCATAGCATGCTGTAAATTGTTCGAGTAAAATACTAGTACCCTTATGTTTTGTGAACAGTGAACTTTTCACCACAGTAAAATATACCACTACATATGCATGTTCTTTTTAATCTTGTCCGGAGACATCATCATCACATCACATGAGTAGCTATATGACTACTCCCTCCGTCCAATACTCCCTCCGTCCAAAACAAATACAATTATAGTAAAATACAATTATGAAAATCGTGCAAGTCAAAGAATCTTAACTTTGACCAAATTTACAATGAATAAAATTGTTACAAAAATACGTTCCGTAATTAATCTAATAATACTTATTTTATATTATAAATGTTAGGGCTTTTTTATATAATTTTGATCAAAGTTTGAATCATTTGACTTCTTGAAACACGAGAATTGTATTTTTTTTTGAACGGAGGTAGTACATGAACTGACTGACGAACGAACTACTCCATGACATGACCATGGTCGACAGACGGTGGAGCTGAAGGTGCGGATGTGCTGCTCGGGTTGCGAGCGGGTGGTGAAGCACGCGGTGAGTCGGCTGCGCGGGGTGGACTCGGTGGAGGTGGACGTGGAGATGGAGAAGGTGACGGTGACGGGGTACGTGGACCGGCACCGGGTGCTCAAGGAGGTCCGCCGCGCCGGGAAGAAGGCGGAGTTCTGGCCCAACCCGGACCTGCCGCTGCACTTCACCTGCGCCAAGGACTACTTCCACGACGAGGAGTCGTACCGCCGCACCTACAACTACTACCGCCACGGCTACAACGGCGACAAGCACGGGCAGCTCCACGAGCCACACCGCGGCGCCGACCCCGTCAGCAACATGTTCAACGACGACGACGTCAACGCCTGCTCCATCATGTAGTAGCCGCCGTTCTTCCTTCGATCGGACTGCCTGCTGGCCGGGAGACCAGCCCGTTGTGTGATCACTGTGTGTGTGTGTTCTCAGAGTAGTAGCAGGGTCAAGTGACAGGCGGTGTCTCTGTGCTCATCAGCTCATGCGTGTAACAAATGGATGGTGCGAGTTGCAACATGGAATGAGTAGCGGTGCCCTTTACGGGTTACAATGTTACATGATGCAATGCAATTGGCAATGGGCAATGGCCACTCTCTATCCACTCCATGGCCCGAGCGCCATGCGTGCGGCGTGCCCTCTGCCCTTCGTGTTCGTATCCTTTGATTGTTCTTGTTCAGCTGGTAGTTCGCTGCTACAGTAGCCATGGGAGGGGGCTGGCCGGCCAGCCCAGCCAGCCCCAGCCCAGCGAACGAGCGGCGTGTTCCCCGATTGTTCTTGTTCAGACACGGCCAAAGCCAATGGGACACCAGAGCATCTTCATGCTATGCTACCCCTAGCTAGCTGCTGCAGCGAAAGGCGCGCGGCTTTTACTAGTCGTCTACTCCAGTCGATCTGCTCCATTTTCGCGCGCGCGCGCGCGGGAGAGCAGCTGAGGCGTAACAGTAGCTAGTAGAACTAGGTTTGGTCATTGGAGATGGTGGCTACCACTGCTACGCCGGTTAAATATTCAGTAGCAGCCATCGAGTGCCTGCAGGAAGGCTCTCGATGGAACCTCTGATTTTAAGTCAAAATAGTATTTTTAAAAAAAAAAAAAAACCAAACCGATCGTTTCGGCCAGCCTGATTGGTGGGCATCGCGAAAAGCCTTGGAACTGGGAAAGCTAGCTAGTGTTCTTGAAGTCCGTGATAACTGCACCAATTGAGCCACAGTGCAGCCGCCAGCAACAGTAGGCTAGAATACTCTAATGGATCAGGTTTTTGATTGATAGTTACAGTCACTCACGCCAATGGAAAAGGGAGTTCGTGATTGATTCTAATCCAACCTTATCAGGTCATTGGGAACTCCAGTGACAGGAGTTAACGAGCTTGCCAAGCAAGCATCGGTTTTAGAACTCCAGTGACAGGAGTTAACGAGCTTGCCAAGCAAGCATTTTGTAGATACACAGTAGATGTGAAGAAAATTAAGGTCATGTTTGGATCTCGTAGTTTAAATTTTAATTGGCTACAAAATTCTATACCACTTTAGCATACTTTTGTGTTCTAATGAATTTTTTTTTTTAGGTTGGCCAAATTTTGACAATGGTTTAAGACTATCTATTTAGAGCCTCAATATCTAAAGTTTAGTGGCTAAACTTTAGGACATAGGATCTAAACATGTCTCTTTAATTCTATCAAAAAAAAGAGATCAAGACATTGTGACCTACTGTAGCCGTTGCTCTTTTGTAACTGCAATCTACCGCTTTCGCGGGACCTAAGCAAAAGCTAATATGTGCACAAACACGCCAAGTGGGCAGGTTCGGGGCAAACATTCGGACCGCTTGCCCTGAATCATAGTACACAGACCCAGACGCTTATACATGCACACATACTTACCCCTATGAATTTATGCATACATCCTACCCCTATAAGTAGTGGCGGACCCAGAAAATATTTCAGGGGGGCTGAACAACACTGCTGTTCGATCTTAAATCTCAGACCATCTACACTATAGAACTTTGCCTAAAAATTCATAGAGGCTCCACAGAAGTTCCACTACTGCAATATGGGTAGGGGGCTTGAGCCCCCCGCCCCACCGCTGTGTCTGCCCTTGCCTATAAGCACATCCGAAAAGACCGGGACCCGAACGAGAGAACTCGATATTGATGAAGTCGCTACAAACATCTCACTGTCGGCTAGCAATGTCGTCTAACATGCAAAGAATATCTTTGTTAAATTCTAAAATAATTTTAGAAAAATACAAACCCCCGCGTCACGTCGAGGATTAAGAATAATGTTTTCAATGTAAAAGTAAAATCACGTTTTGGATCGAGGATTTTTTCAGTGGACAACAGTACCTCTATGTAGGCCCTGTCTAATAAGGTGAATGTTGATCAAGCTATATAATATTTTTTTTAGCTCCGATCTAGCACAGAATGATAATGCCGAGGATGAGATTATACGCGGATGATGCTACCATCTTTGATCCTTCTCAATAGAACTAGTCGGGAGATTAAGGTTGCCTATTTTATATCTTTACATCTTTATAAACCCTAAGCTCCAAACTTCTCTAACCAAAAGTCCAATTCCTTAGTTGACCCACAATTTCAAACTTGATAACACGAAACAAGTCAAACGCGCCAAATTTTCGGTTCCATGTCAAGCAAAATGACCGCTTGTGTCTGGCTTCGCATAGTGGACTATCCAAGTAGTCAGCACCACCGCTAGAGGATGTCATGTGCCAAAGCTGGACCCAGCAGAAACGGCCGCAGACTCGCCGTGAAACCCGCCCGCCTTCCACATCCACAGATCCTCTGATGGACGGCTACCAACGCTCGAAAGTCCATAGATCGGGTCCACGGCAGTTCGCTGGGATTGACCCGCCTGCCTCGCCTCCTCGCCGCACGGCAATCCGCCTCCCTTCGCCTCAGCAACGGCCGAACCGAAACCCACCAGACGCATTCCCCAATCCGGCAATCCCCAATCCGGCCGCCTCGACGAATTTCGATTGCTTCCAGCTTGGGCCTCCCGATCGCTCGCGCGCCTCCGTTTGCTTCGCATTCTAGAACCTAGCATTTGATTTGATTCCGCCGCTTGGTCCGGCCCCGAGGAGGAGGCGAGGGAGCGGTGACAGGTTGCGAGGCCATGGCGGGTCCGTCTCCGGCGGCGATGGACGCCTGGTGGGACGACGTGAACAACTCCACGCTGTGGCAGGACCGCACCTTCCACGCCCTCGCCGCGCTCTACGGCGTCATTGCAGTCGTAGCCCTAGTAAGCCCTATCCCGCCGCACGATTTTGCCCTCCTCCTGCTTAGCTTAGCTTGCGATTGGGGGTCCGATTTGGTTTGGAACCACGAGCTAAAGTGGGGACGAGGGTTCAAGCGCGTAGATTTGAGAGTTGAGACTCGTTTCTGGGCCTTCCGAATTGTACGGCAACCATCTAGCGTAGTCTGTATTCCATATGTGAATGATAGAAACTGAGGCAGTGGTTACCGATCTCATTAGTTCATTTGATGTGAATTTCGTCAGGTCCAACTGATAAGAATCGAGTGCCGGGTTCCTGAGTATGGGTGGACAACACAGAAGGTGTTCCATTTCCTAAATGTCATTGTCAATGGTGGTGAGTTCATTGTTGTGCTTATCCAATGCTTACTCAGTGGTCATACTACGCCTTAGTATTCTGGTCATGATCTGTGGTGAACTGGTGTCTGTGTATGCAGTGAGGTCAACCGTGTTTGTACTGCGGCGGAATGTGCAACTTGTACACCCTGAGGTTTGTGTAAGGAGGCAATTTTTATTTCGTTTCCGTCAGCTGGTTGGAAAAAAAAACTGTAGTAATGTGTATCAATACTTCCTTGTAGATATTTCAACATGTGCTTATTGATTTGCCTGGCCTAGCATTCTTCACGACCTACGCTCTGCTAGTGCTCTTCTGGGCTGAGATTTACTATCAGGTTAGGTTTTAGTTCAACAGTTTTTTGCCATGGTTCCATGACTGCTGCTGTGCTCATTGTTTTATGCTGATGTTTGCTAGGCACGTGCAGTGTCGACCGGTGGGCTCCGGCCAGCTTTCTATACAATCAATGGAATGATCTATGTCATTCAGGTAATTTGCGTATTTGGATTTCTCACTTATGGGCTTATAAGACCATGTACTAGCCAAAGAACAGCCTCTCTCTCTTTTTCTCCATGTCAATGGCTCCTAGTTTCTAGAAGGTTGATAAGATGTTTTAAGTTTGCACCGGTGCTTAATGTGTGCTAACAAGGACAAGGTAGATGGTAGTTAAGCCTATTTAAACACCAGTTTGCATTGTAGGAATTAACTTCTATTTTGGTGCTTAATGATATGACAACATTCTCTCTCTTTAAGCACTCATGTATAAGCACCTTGAATTGTACACGTCCTAACAAGTTTTGAATTTTTTTTCTTATATCAACTTTTATGTCAAAGGATTGATGTGGCAGTAATCAATCTCTTGATGATGTAAAGTGATCACATGAAAAAGTTGGGGACATTGTTATGGATTAAAAAATACTAGCACGAGTATGGTTGAAGTATTATTGGTTTTTGTCGAACAACTGAGGAGAGCTGTGTGTCATTTCTTTTAAGAGAGAAGAAATAATATAAAGGAGAGGCGAAAGAAGCCCCTCCCAACACACTCAACACACACAGGGCAAGACAGTTACAGGTGTGCTACTGTGAAGAAAAAACACTCTAGTCACTTAAGACTTTTTTTTCTGGAATATGCAGGAGAGCTGTGTATCATTGTATTAAGGTAGGGGAAAAAAGGAGGGCTTAAATAGCCAATACAAAACTCACACAACACCACACACACTTCGGGATTTTTTTTCTGTTTCAAACGCGCCTGTTCAAAAACGAGAAACGACCAAAACCACAACTACATGAGCCGCTAACCACCATGACTAGCAGCAACCAGACCTCTGAGACCCTTGGCGCCTGCCAGCATCCAGTGATTGGCCTCATCCTGTGCAAGGAGAAGCGCCCGATCCAACCTGTGCCAGACACCATTAAACACTATGTCGTTCCTTTCCTTCCAAAGGATCCAAGCACCCAGCATGACCAGTGAGTTAAAGCCTCGCCCAACGTCCTTGTTGAAAGTGCTGCCAGCTTGTTGCCACCAATCAAAGAACCTTGTTGAACTTGGTTGAGGTGCAACATCCGGTAAACCAAAACGATGGAGCAGCTGGTGCCAAAATTGCCGTGAGAAGACACATGAGCATAGGAGGTGCTGGATGTTTTCATCCTCCTGGTCGCAAAATGGGCAATGCTGAGGATGGGGCAGACCACGTCGAACAAGTCTATCAGCCGTCCAACAACGGTTATGTGCCACTAACCAGAGGAAAAATTTACACTTCCTGGGAGCCCAGTTACTCCAAATCAATTTGCTTGGCTCAAAAAGGATTGCTCCAAGGAAGAAAGCCTCATACGCCGATTTGGTAGAGAATTCTCCTGAAGCCTCAAATTTCCATTTGTGAACATCATCAACCTCAGGTTGAAGTACTACTTCCTGGACCAAGTCCCAAATATCTAGATATTCAGCCAAGACTGCTACAGAATAGTGGCCTTGGATATCTTGCATCCAACTATTATCCATTAGCGCTTTCCTAACAGTGCGCCTTCTTTCCCGCCTTTTTGGTACACATGCAAATAGATGAGGGGCCAGTAGCTCAATAGAAGACCCATTCAGCCATTTATCGGTACAAGGGCTGAAGCTCCTGCCATACACCACAGGCTACCAGCCTACTTCATTGGCCACCGTTTGGAGGAGGCCGTGAACATTTGACCTAACCCCTTCAAAAGCACATCACTGTGGTGTTTACACAGTTCCCAGGATGTTAGAATGATTAGGGGGTTTAGACCTTTGCGCAGTTCCTTGGAAACACTTCTGGTGGTATTTTCTACCACCAACTTGGGAACACTTTCAAGTATTATTTTCAGTGGGTTTGTTGTGTAAAATTAAGACAACTATATGGCAAGATGTCATAAAAATATCAAACAGCGAAATAAAGAAACGCTATAGTTTAACACTTTAAATTAACTGTCCTAACGCCAATGATAAGTGTGAGGACCAAGAACTCCTCTTACTTGCCTGATTGTCTGATTTGATACTTTCTGGAAGTACTGCATGAGAATGCCCTGGTAACTAGTACGTCATATTCAGTTAATTGCTTGTTATACTTTAGCTTGTGAAGTGGCACTTTTTTCTAGAGTATTTCTCAATAGGTATTTCAAAATTAAGGAATTGTTATGCGATGTCACTTCTCATTTCTTTTGCCATCGACCTGTAAAATTCCAGATACTACTGTGGCTGCTCATGTGGTGGAAACCAGTTCAAGCCGTGGTAATTTTGTCAAAGATGTTCTTTGCAGGTAATGTCCTTGTTTCTTTTGGCTTCCCCTTCAGGTTGCAGCACTATGTTTTGCACTGTAAGAGCAATGGAAATTTACAGCATGAAATCATATGGTTTTTATTGTTTTTGGTTCGTGTGAAGTATATAGTTAGATATATTGGTTAATGAAAACATTCATGAAATTTCATAGAAACGATACTCCTACCTGATTAACAAATTCCAGAAACTATAGTTGTAACCTTAGTTTCTTGTATCCACCATTTGTCAGGAAAGATATGTGCTAAGTTATTTAAAACAAATTATGTTGCAGTTTATCTCTTCTACTGACATGGATCTACTTTTCAGCTACATCCTTATTTGCTGCCTTTGGTTTCCTTCTCTATGGTGGGAGGTAATGACTTATTCCTTGATATATCATGGTTCTTTAACAAACGAGAACTACGCTATTTGCCATCGGTTGAAACTACAGTATTATGGTTGCACTGCTACTACAGAAAACAATACCTCAGCATGCACGCTAGCGTTAAGAGCAAGAGATTTTCTGTATACTTTGCCCCTTGATTTCTGCAATGTTAGGTTGTTCGAAAAGTAAATAATCCCCATACACTAAATTTGTGCATAAATTGAGGCCATGCGAACTTCCTGTATTTTTCTGTTATCTTGAAATATTGTGCTGATCCTTTTGAGTTTTGATAGCAGTAGAGCTAGTTATAATAACGTGGGTATCCTTGTATAGGCTATTCCTTATGTTGCAGCGTTTCCCTGTTGAGTCAAAAGGTCGTCGGAAAAAGTTGAATGAGGTACTTTGCAATCCGTTGTCTTCCGCTATAGAAATATATCTTGATGACTTGTTTGTTTAACATTAAATACATTATCCCCTTCTATGCAGGTTGGCTATGTGACCACCATTTGCTTTGGTTGCTTCTTGATCAGATGCATAATGGTAAATCCTATGTAATACCAATTTGGTTCTGAAATGATTCCAGTAATAGACTGACTTAGCGTGTCTATCTTGCAGATGTGCTTAAGTGCATTTAATAAAGATGCTGACCTTGATGTTCTGAACCATCCAATCCTGAACTTCTTTTACTACTTGGTATGTTTTTCGTTCAAATAAATTGTTTGTGCAGGTTTAGAGTTAATAGTATCTTAGGTGCATCTTTGAACTTACTCTGTGATGTCAATTGGATCTCTTATGTTTGATCAGTCGTCACACTTGCTGATATTATTTTCTGCTGGTGTTTGCTGTGTCTTGTGCAGCTGGTTGAGATTGTACCATCGTCTTTGGTGCTGTTCATCTTAAGAAAACTGCCACCAAAATGTGGGATTGCGCAGTACCATCCAATCCATTAGTCAGGATTCAGGAATGTGCATGGTCCATCGCTAACAGTTCCATCTAATTGCCAACGACAAGGCAAATGTGAGTTTTTTTAGATGAAGGAGACACCATATACCTTTGTTTGTAGGTTAGTAGCTTTCATACGAAGTAGGTCTGGCAAATATAATAGCTTGTTACAAATGTAACCCCACGGTTTGTTGTAATCCCAACAACTGTCACCAATACAACCTGTTTCTCGAATTGAGGTTTCCGTCTGTAAACTCCAGAACAGAAGAAGACACCGAGAATTGTTGATCGAGAGAATGTGTGATAGGATCATAAGATTGGCTATTTAAGAAGAGTCGGTGCTGTACGGGTATATTATAGCAGATCCTCCTAATTCAGTGAAACAAACTCTGATGAACCTGAAAGATGTTGGTCCACATTTTTTTTTCTTCTTCCTTCGTCCAAAACAGAACGGGCCCAGGGAGTAAGTCTGGCAGTGATTATTATGGAATAAATAAAACCAGGAAACCATGAGTAACTTAACCAACTGAGCTATGCTAAGTTTGTGACGTCGGGCCAGTTTAACACCTTTAGAAAACCATCTCCTGAATTCCAGCTGTGAATGGTTTGAAGCACTAATCATGCATGAACCTGCAGCTGCTCGTGAGCTGGAAACTTGCGAGACACTCGGGGTGCCGGAGAGAACTCATCAACTGAACGACGTTGCTTATTACTGTACACATAAAAGCTCGCACCTGTCTGATGATCAGTCAGCTTGACAGCATGTACCAGATCACAGGACGAACCAACTTCAGAGAAGTGTAAAGAACATGACAACAGGTTGGCCGGCGAACCGCCGAGGGGAACGGTCGAACGGAGACTTGTGCACCTGTGATCTCTCTCTCTCTCTCTCTCTCTCTCTCTCTCTCTCTTTGTTGCAAGCATCTCATCTCAGGGAATAATGGCCGACCTCCATTCCCTACTAGGCCTGCTCAGTGCAGACTTGTGCTACTCTGACTAGCAGGTGGCAATGGCCCTGTTCGCTTGTTGGTTTTAGCCAGACTTATTCAACCATCCAACAGTGTTTTTCTCTCACACCAAACCAGCACCAGCCAGTTCAAACCAGCCTAGAAAAAACCAGCGAACACGCCGAATGCATTATTCCTGTCCGTCCGAATCCGAGTCCGACCCAACAGGAATAATGGCCAACGGCCATTCCCGAGCCGGTGCACCTACGTCCGGCGAGCAAACCATGCAGTTTCTATGGCACAGCCACAGCTCCTGGTGGTGAGACTGAAGAGTGCCAGCCACGACCACCATGAGCCTGAACAAAAGAATTCGATCGGCAAGCATTTGCCGAACAGAAAGCGTGTCAGGTCAGGCAAAGTGCTGGGTCGGGCGCCGGCAGGAATCGGGGCCGGGGCCCCCGGAATGATTGCCACGACGACCGGGCCCGGCCGGCCGGGAACACGAGGTGGTCGGTGTCCGCACGCCCGTGCACAGACGCCGGACGGACAGATCGAATCGAGAGCTTCAGAGGCTGCAACGTATGGGTGGGTCCTTTGAGGAAGCCGGAGTGGAGGGGAGTGGAGCTGCGGAGGGCTAGCGAACCAGGCAGCCGGAAAGATCACCGCGCGGGGTCGTCGAGACTTTCATCAAACGACAGGTCGAGTTGAGCCGAGGAAAAAAATGTTGGGTCAAAATTTTTTGTTTAAGACCGACCCGACGAGTATTGGCGGATCAGGTCATGCCGGTCTGTTTCTTGATTTTTTTTCCTGATTTTTTGCCCTATTTTGTGTTGGAGTTTTTCATCCGATACATTAGCGGGTCTGATCGGGTGGCTTATGATCAGGTCTATTTATCTTCAGGAGACTATTTTAAATTCAGATGACTATGCCACCGGTACACAATCTGTTCGCTCGGTCGTATTTAGCTTATAAGTCATGCCTTATCAGTCAACGACAGTATTTTTCTCTCACATCGAACCAGCCAACGGTACTTTCAGTCATGGCTTATAAGCCAAACCAGCCAAAACAAACAAGGCGTGTAGTTCACTTTTTAGAAGAGGCCACAATAGCTTTGTCGCAAAAATAGATTAGACGAGAGAAAGGGAAAAAAATTAGTACAACACTGCTGGAAAACTAAGGGACGTTGACATCAACTCTAGGGGGCATGTGAAATTGTTGTAAGTCATCCTTGCATAACATAGCCACTTGTCTAGTTTGTAAACTCTTCTGTTGAAAAATTCTTCTATTCCGCTCCTACCAAATGTTCCGCCAGAAGTAGTCCTAACTCTTTTGAAAAATAATATAACATATTTAGATATACAATTCCAAATAAAAACACTACCAAGACATATATCGTTAATAAAACTATCCAATACCTACCAATACCGTAAACATTGGTATATTGTTTTGCACACTTGGTTAAAGACATAGTAGTTCAATTTAGTGCGTACAAAACTAAAGCGACCTGCATGTATATATTTTTAGAACAGAGGAAATACTTGTGACGTTCTGATAGTGCACGTGCACGGCGTGGTGGTTGTTTGTGCATGGAGTGGCTATACGCCTACACTGTGTATGGGCCGTGCGTGTTGTCGTGCTCCAACTCTTCAAAATCCGAAGGTTAAGCGGTCTGTTCGCTTGCTCGTAAACGATCGTAAATTTCTAGCCGGGAACCGTGTTTTTCTCTCACACCAAACCAGCCAACAGTAAATAATGCACGATACGATACGGCCTCCCGAACATTGCTTCCTTGTTTTTGTTTAGACAAGTTTACTAGGTCTGCTATTCGAGAAAAAAGTTTAGTAGGTCTGCTAATGATTGGAAAAATATTTGCCTGGCGATTTGATTGGGGAAAAAAATTCAAAGATGGTCTAGACTTGCTCCACCTGTACACTGTACTGTAGATCAGAGGAATCAAGCGTTGATTTAGGCGTTGATCTTTCACGTCGTAGAGCCCGTTTGGCCGGGCTCCGGCTCCCTGACTTCTCTCCTATTCATCTCCTATAGCGACACTGTTTATCGGAGCCGTTTCTCTCTCTCCTCATTTCCTCTTTGACAGCGCCGAAGCCGGAGAAGCTCGTTTTTTTTCTCCTCCGGCTTCAGCTCCTGCGCGCTACAATTACGCTACAGTGTGAGAGCCAGAGCCGACAGGAGCCTGACCAAACGTGCCCATAGAATCATGCATCCAAGCCCACCAAAACTGAAGAAACCACACAAATTTGGCCGTACCGAGAGAGACAATAATTGTTGGGTACGCCGTACGCGTACGACATACAGTAGGGTTCTGCTGAAATCCAGTACCGGTTCTTTTTTTTTTCCTCTCTTTTTTAGCAAAAAATGGATAAAAAGGAATGATAAGAAGGCCTAGTAAACGTCCACAGAGAACCTGGCAAGGCATCCTATATATGTACAAAAAATATTTAAAGCGCAAACGAAGCCACAGCGCAACAATGTTGGAGCAGTTGGAAGATCACCATCAACAAATGCTTTTGCGCTCCCGGCCGGCCGGATTTGGATGGAGATACATATCGGCTGGACCTTCTTCTGATGAATTTACGTGTTGATCGTTTATATATCTTGACTTCAAATTCGTGGCATGGCTCTCTCTTAGCCGGCGGTGTATGGCCTCATGCATTTATCCTTATCCATGTTCTTTATCTTCCTTGATTGAAGGAGCATGCCATGCATACTTGCCCAAGCCTAGAAAATGGAACTCCTGTTTCACACTTTTAGTTCCTACTGGTACTGCTTATTCTGTCTTGAAATATAAGACATGTGTACATATTTTAAAATTCAAACTTTATTATCTTTATCAACAAATAGTATAATCACATAAAAAGTTTATACTATGAAGGTGGGTTACATTTGATTTATTTTTAGAATACTTTGTGATGATAAAAATTTTATTGATATAAATTATATATATGTTATATGAGAAATTAGCGGTTAAAGTATGATCTTGGAGACCACGCTAATCAAACCACTCTTTATATTTTAGGACGGAGTACCGGTGGTTTTGTTATAATTTCATCCGGCTCATTTCTTACGAGTTTTCTTTTTTTCATCCAGCAGCCACCTTCGGCTCAGCTGGCACGCGCACCAAGGTACGGCGCATGAGCCTTGCAGCTGATTGCAAATAGCTAATAATTTGCTCTCCTGTCAACCGCTAATTGGATGGTGGTTATTCCTTTCCCCTGTTCGGTTGAGGTGCCAACAAAGTGGATTGCCACAAATTACACTACACCTAGCTTAGCTAGCTTCTAGTATAATCGAGCTGAGCAGCCAAGAATCAGATGTTTAGGTATAGATAATCTACACACACCTTACCGCTAGATTAGCATTCACGAGCACTGTCAGCTGTTCAAAGTCGTCGTATGCATAAGCATACCATTATATTGCGTGATTGCACAATTACATGAACCTAACCCACTAATCATGTTTGGGGGCATCTTTGTCTGATGAGCAGCTTTATATGCTTGTCATCTAAAGTTATGTTTGCACTTGAAATGAATGCGCATCCTCGTTGTCAGCCCAAGTCCAAAGGAGAGGAGAGAGTACTACGTAAAAGGGAGGTGCTGGTCACCTGGAAACGGCATGCCTTTTGAGCATCAGCGAAGAACACAGCGAACCAGGACACTACTCTGTGTTCGCTGGATTCTTGCTTCCTTTTCGCCATTTGTATTGTGGAGTATGTGCACAGCATAAAAAAAAGTAATGGGCTACCACATCACATATATTGTTGGTACATAATGGTACACGCACTCAAGAATCGAGACTGTTGTTCCCATCTTGGAAAAAGGCAGGCTGGGACACCTGAATTTCACATGAAGCAGCGTGTTCCGTTCCGTCCATGAAAATGAAAATCAAGGGGAATTCACAGGTGATCTGGCATGAAGGAACGATCTATCTTTACTTCGAAACACTCACGAGCTGGCGGCAGCATACATGAATCTTTGCCTGCTTGGTAAAGAGAAAAGAGAAAGAGAGAAAGAGAAAAGAGGAGCGTGCATGGTACAGTGATACTGGACCAGAAGGAAAAGAGAAAAGAGGAACCCAGCTCGAAACCAAAACGGCCGTCAATATGCCATGCAAGCATACTCCTCCTAGTGGGGCCCCTTCTGCACACTCGCTCGTGTCATGTGTGGCTTGCCTTTTGCTCCTCCTGTCACGTCTCGTCAGCCGTCAGTGCACCGCTTGCATGGCTGCCTGACACAAATACTAAACGTCTCGTACGGTGTCATCTGTGGAGTCCTTTGCGGTTTGCCCACCACTCCAAAAATTTCCTAGGACCTGACCGGCGTACTAAACGGACGAGGAATTCAATTTTAGCCCGTCGCTCGGACGAGGACCGTACGCTCCACACGTGCGTCTCCTGTCACACTGTCACTTGCAAATTTTTCCAGATCCTACTGTTTTTTTTGTCTCACAGTAAACCACGGAGTAGTATTTTATAGCATCAAGATCGGTTCAGTAAAATTTCGCAAGAAAAGAAAGGAGACATTTTGAAAAATGCGTATTTTTTTTTATATTCGAGAGAGAAAATTGCACATACTCACTCAGTCCAAAAAAGAATGCAATTTTATAATAATGTCGCGTTTTAATATCTTAAGCTTTATTAATTATAGATAAAAAAATTAATATTTATGATATCAAACTATTAGATTAATTACGAAATATATTTTTATAATAAATTAATTTGGAGCCATAAATATAAAAATTATTCGGTAGAAATTAACTCGTGCTTGCATTTTTCTTGACAACGTAACCACGGAGTATTTTATAGCATCAGAATCAGTTCAGTAAAATTTCGCAAGAAAAGAAAGGAGAGATTCTGAATTTACAAATCTGAAGCAGCAGGCAGAGGGCAGAGAGAGGGGGAGACCGGAGACACGCTAGCAAACTTGTTGTGCGCCCTGTGCTGCTGCTCGTGCTGTGGGATTCACCTCACCGATTCAGGAGGTGTTCTGTGTTGAGAAATTTCAGATCGTCTGCTCTGCAGCTGCGTGCAGACCGCGGCGCACGTAATCTGCTGCGCTTGCTTGCTGCAGTGGCAAAGGTGAACGGCTCGAGATAGATGGAGTATACGCTGCGCTGCGCTGCCTGCTCTTCTCTGCTCCCCTGCATCGAGACGATGGAGCAGTGCGGAGCAGGCAGATGCAATACACCATCAATTGCCAAAAAATGCTCCTACGTGAGGTTTTTCGAAATGCGCCTTCTTCTGATCTGGCGGAAGGATTATTACTGTGTTGTTCACCAAACAAAGAAAATGTCAAACTAAAATATTACTGATTACTGAAAAACGGGAGCAAGTTCATCATCCTTAACAGTCAACAAAGTGCAAGATATGCTCATTCCCATATGCACATTCCTCCCCCCCGGGATTATTATCTGCACGAGAGAAGTGAACGTTCGCAACCATCCAAACACGCAGCAACAGACGGATAATTCTTTTGTCTCACGAAACAGGGGCGAACGAAAGGATCCAATCCAATCTCTCCCCAAGCACCTGCAAATCTACAATCGCTAGCGCACAAGCTGCTGCCGCTACTCGCATTAATTAATTAATAAACCACCGCCCCTAATCGCACTACCACTACTACAAGACTACCCGGTAAATGCAAAGATCGCAAGTCCACGGCCCGCCCCCAATCCCCACCCTCCACTTCTTAAGCTCCCTGTCGCCTCGGCGGCCGGTCTCTAGTCCTCCGCCTCCTCGTCCGGCCTCCCGCTCCACCGGGGGCGCTCGCCATTGATGGAGTACGAGCGCATCCACGAGCCGCTCCCGCGCCATCAGGTGCCCGAATCGCCGCGATCCCCGCCTGAATTCGCTCTCCGGGTGCTCCGTTTCTGGATCTTGTCTTGCTTGCGTGCCCCCTCCTCCTCATGCCCTTCCGCCGGTTGCATGCTTGCTCGTCTTGGGGGGGTTCGATTTGCTTATACTTTCGCACCGTCTTGGGTTCGTCGTGCTCTTGGACGAAAGGTTTGATGAGGCTTTCCGTAGTGTGTGCTGTTCGCGAGGTGACTTTTTAATGATGAGGTTCTCGCCTCGGAAGGGAGGCGCGCCTGTCGTTGCTGAACTCGATGATGGTTCAGTTTGGTTGGACAGGTTGATTCCTTGCAGGGTTCCTTTTTTTTTTCATTCTTCCCCGTCCTTCTATTCTATCGAATTCGGCTGAAGCTTTGGTACTTGTGCGCCTAAATTCGACGCGCATTTCGCCGAAAAGTTGCAGCTTTCTCATGCATCTGATGTTACTCGGCACAGTTCTTGTTAAATTTTCTTTCAAAAAAAGTTCTTGTTAAATTTTGTAGCGCTTTCTGTGCCGTAGCTTTCAATCGCTGGCGGGTAAGGATGGGATTGGGATGGGTCGAGCATTTCAGTGCACATTTCACTAAAAAGCTGAGATCTTGTCCTTTTCGTCGTTCTTTCAGCTTTCTTCGGTTCAAATTCAGTAGTTTGTCGGTTCAATTCGCCTTCTGTGCACCATTTCGATTCTGGCTCCGCTACATTTCACACTTTTCTCTCGCGGCGTCACTGAACCATTTCTTCTGTCCTTCCACCCTGCTCTGCCCCAGTCCAGCGGATTCTCTCCAGCTAAGCTGCGAGCAATGCTTCGCGGGCTAGAGAAACACCAGCGCAACAATGGCGAGGACACGTCGCCGGAGGCCAACGACTCCGGCGAGCTCGACGACCGGAGTAAGTCCATCGCCTGACCAATCATCGAACTATTCATATATGATTCGACCTTTTACCATTTGCTGAGCATGAGTTCTCGGATACTGAATACCGAATACGTCGACAGGGAGCTTGGAATGCTCCACCTCCACCGAGATGTCGAGCAACAGCGGCCACAGGTCAAGAAACCGAGCCCCGGACGACGACAGCTTCGACTCGGAGAGCAGCTCATCGGGGCCGCCGACGGTGAAGAGGTCGACCGCGGTGGCCGCGTTACTGCCGCCGTTCTCTCGGCCAACGCCGTCCAAGTGGGACGACGCCGAGAAGTGGATTTCCAGCCCGACGTCAAACCGTACTGGCCGTGCGGGGCCTACCGCTGGAACTGTGCCAAAGAAGTCCGCATTGGCATTTCCTGAACATGGAGGCCGTCCACCAGCCGTTGCTAAGGTGGTCACGGATGTGCCTACCAACACTGGACCATTGGTTAAGAATTCAGATGGTAAGCATGAACTTTGCCATGCTATCGATTTCTTTATTGTTTTCAGCACATATAGACTAGTGCAATACATTATAGAATTATAACGCAGTGATAAATATTGTAATTGTGAGGTCATATTTCGGATTAATGCATTAGATTTCAGCTCCAGCCTGTTTTGGCCCTGTTCGCTGGGAGGAATTCGGAGGAACCTGGATGAATCTTGAGGAATTTGTAAGAGAGTGAACAGTATTTTCCATCCGCTCACAGTGAAATCCGGCTGGTTTCTCAACCATCCGGCTGGTTTGAAGTGTCTGAACTTTGGAGTCCTAACTATAATTTAGTTATATCTTATAATGTAGCGTGAAGAGATAAGAGTTAAGGATTATTTAGAACATTTGGTTGCAAGTTTGAAGTGCTGGAGCGGGGTGAATTGGGGACAGGTAAAGTGTGACATCATGAGTTGCCCGTGCAGAGAAGTCTGCCTTTGATGTTCAGCTGGACAGCTGCTCTTTTCATCATGGCAGCTTCTTGGACCCCAAAAAAGTTACGTGTATTTCATTTAACAAATACATAAGGATGGCAGTCTAATATAGCTAAATCTGCCCACCAGGCACCAACTAAATGTTTTACTTCTATATTTTCTTTTGGAAAATAACTACCAGGATAAATGCGGATTCAGATCAGGACATATTTCAGGCGTACTACATCATTCTCTTATTATATGCTAGCTGCTTGCACTTAGAAGCTCGCAGATGTGTGTAGAATAAATAAATTATCAACCGTGTGTTTCTATGTTATTGGAATATCGGTATGTTTCAGTGCACTTTTGATGAAAATTCATCTTATGCTCTATTTTCAGGTCTCGTCCATTCTGATTTGCTTAAACCTGCACACAATGCTTCAATAGTTGATGGACCAACACCTGTAGTTAGGTCTGTCTCTATGAGAGACATGGGAACAGAAATGACTCCAATTGCCAGCCAGGAGCCTTCTCGGACCGCGACTCCTATAATTGCATCTAGTCCAACTTCCTCTCGGACACCAACTCCGCAACGCACCACAGAATTCAGTGTGAGTAATATAGATTCTAACAAAATGGAGATGTGTGAAGAGGAGCTACAAATAAGTACAAGACAGGAAATTATGGATCTTGGCGAAAGGTTAGGCAAGACTACTATAGCTGCATGGGCAAGCAAGGAAGAGAAAGCCGCCGCACATTCCACGGATACTACAGCCTATAAGGCTGTCGATATCAACAGGGAGAATCGAGCGGCAGATTGGCAGGAGGCAGAGAAGGCAAAGTATCTTGCAAGGTATATTTGATCCTTGTTTAGTTGTAATGTCATTGTCTGTTCGTCTTGAGAATAACATTTAAAAACACATAAAGAAGATTTAATGCTTTCCATTGTAATAATATACAGAAACTAGTTTTAGGATCATCTGTGGTATAGAACCGCAGAATGTACGGAAGCTAGGCGAAACTGGAGGTTGCATATTTATTGTTTCTGTGATCTTCAACATTATGCAGGTTTCAGAGGGAGGAAGCAAAGATCCAAGCTTGGGAAAATCTCCAGAAAGCGAAAATTGAAGCTGAAATGAAAAGGATAGAGGTAAAACCTCCATTCTCTGCTACTTATCTCATGATATAGTGCCATAGATACTTTTCACTTGAAGCCTGTATGTACGCAGTTTCCTATTTTAAGTAATTACTAAACCAAAAGAAAGCACCATGACTCCAAGCAACATCTGACTATCCTGAAAGGATTAAACTAGGAATACGAAGTGTTCCCTCCATTTCTTTTTATAATGCCTATCAGGATTTGAAAAGGTCTTTGAAAGTATATTTTGGCCATCAATTCCTCTTACAATGTATCATTAATTGTTCCTGCAAAATCAATATTATAAAATAATTGTGAGATGCAAATCTATTAATGTAACTTTTACATACTAAGCATGCATATAATTTGTCTAATTGTTAGTCAAATTGTATGAAGTTTGACGGTTTTAAATCATATAATACGTCCTATAAAAAGAAACTGAGGGAGTACCTAAATTCTCCAAGTTCAGTAATTTGATATTGTTTACCATTCCTGAGTTAGTACCCAGAACATTCCTTTTCTGCTGCCTAGTGCGCACTGGTCTGGATGTCTGACAGAAGCTCCAATGCTTTCTGTCGGGCATAGACAACGATGAACCTTTTAGCTCATGAATTCTGCTTCAGACATGTAACCCTTTTAGTTTGCCCGGCTTTTGGTTGCAAACTTTGGCCGTCCTCAGGGTTGGTTTTGGATTGCCTCTCGCCGTCCGTTACAACACTGATGTCGCCATGTGCTGTACTAACTGGCACTTTCCTACTTCCTCTTAACGAAACACGTTTGCGGGGTAGAAAAAAAGCTCATGGATTCGATGTATATGTATTCAGAGACCACCGAAGAGAAGCTCTGCTTGCAGAATCTGACAGAAGCTCCCTCTCCTCTGATTGCAGGCCAAGATAGAGCGGAAACGGGCTCGCGAGCAGGACAGGCTCGGCAGCAAGCTGGCCGCGGTAAGCCACCGAGCAGAGGCGAAGAGGGAGGCCGCGGAGGTGAGGCGGAGCCAGGAAGCCGCGAGAACGGAGGAGCAGGCAGCCCAGATCCGAGAAACCGGGCATACGCCTTCCTCCTTCTCCTGCTGGTGCTGGTGCCTGTGATTCTCATTCTCCGATGAATGACCAGCTCTAGTCACCCGCCTTGTAACATAGCATGATCCGTGATCTTTGGGCGTGGTAGAAAAATTGCTCACTGTACGACTTGTAGTGTAGTGCCTTGTTGGTCTCATGGTGGCTTGTCTTCTCGGGAAGGAATGCAGAAGTGTTTTCACTTTTCCAGTTTTCACCACGAGGTAACTGTAGGCCATAGCCGCTGGCCCGCTGCACATGCCACCGGAAAAAAAAAATCGTTGGAGAGAGTTGTCATGGACAAGCATGGACACCTATCTCGAATTCACGAAATGCAAGCATCGGGATTGCATGAATTTAGGAGCACCGGGATTGTATCATGAACTTCGGAGCACCACCACCAAATGCCTGCGACTCCGATAGTTCACGGCTGCCAACCTGCCACGAAGACTGCTCCCATGGATATTTTTTTTATCAAAAAATGCCTCTCCTCGTCCGCGTCCGATCAAACTTGTGCGGCTAGGATGATGCCAGTTTGGTGCCATGCGGTAATATGGGCCGATTGGGCCGCGATTAGCGTTTGCACGGTAGATAGGGCCCGTGAGGATATTTGGAGGTGGGCTCGGATCGTCAGCTAGACCCAGGAATTGGATCGCAAGCAAATCCCAACGGCTCCTGTCGTTTCTTCCCCCACGAACAGGGAGGAAACCTTCCCGTTCTATTCTATCGTCGTCGTCTCTCACGCGGTCTCTATCCATCCATGAATGGGGTGCAGACTGGAACCACCTGTCCGCCTCCGCCCGCTCCTCTCGCCTCCGGGGCTATAAATCGCTAGCAGATCCGGAGCGCGCGCCTACTTCGATCCAAACCCAGACGACTCGTCCCTCAGATAATCCGTCCCGTTCCGTTCGTCGTCGTCGCATACATACCAGCCGGCAGCAACCGCCCGATCGACCGGCGGCACGGCGCCCCATGGAGACGTCGACGGCGGCGATGATGATGGACCACCACCACCGTGCGGCGCCGTCGCTGTCGGCGGAGGAGAAGCGGCGGATCGAGCGGGTGGCGCGGTGCGTGGCGCGGGACCGGGACGGCGGGGACCTCACGGAGAAGCTGCTGCTGCGCCTGCTCGGCCTCACGCGCAACGCCCGCCGCTGGGGGTTCCTAGCGCCGGACCACCAGCTCCACCCCTACTACCTCCAGCAGAAGGTCTCCGAGCGCTGCCGCATCCTCCGCCCACGGCACGCCGCCGCCACTGCCGCCGACCGGTGACCCCATCCGTTCTCCTACCAACCTGGCTACCGGCGCATGCATACGCATTGCATGCGGACGTGCAGCCGGATCGACCATTGATAGGACTCAACCATTATACGCGCATCACCTGCCTCTTCCTCTCTTTTAAGCCCCCGATTCGTTTTGTTAATCGGAGCATCTTGTATTAATTGTTAGGGATGGTATGGGAAATTGATAATCGAAGAAGCATGCAACGGATCCGGAAATACATCGATGTGCCTAATTGTAGCAATTATGAAAGCAGCTGCCCATCGATAGTTTCTCAGATTTGAGATCGAAAATGTTTATGTGCCGAACTGCCGATGTGTCAACCTTATCGTATAGACTAGAAAGTGCTGCGCGGCCTTGCCGCGCAGGCCCAGTATTTGACCTCAAGCGCATCTTTGTCGTCCTTGGTGTCTCTTCTGCCTCTCTGGCAGTCGTCTTGCTGAAGCCCTCCTCAAGGGTCAATAGGTTTACATAGTCTAGGCAAAAGTGGCTTTGGATTAGGCCAAAGCTTGCATTTGTTGCAACGAAGGAGATGTGAATCAAGAATACAGTGATAATCATAATGTCGGGCCAGGCCTTGAGATCTTGCAAGTATATGTTGCCTCTTATAGAAGGATGGCCATATAGATCAGCCAGAGAAGAAGCTATAGTGGCAACCATTTAACAGTATAACTCCAGGTCAACCAATGCAATTGAATAACCTTTCTTAAATACAAGCTTACAGTTTTGGACAAATGTTCCATAACTGAAAAAAACTGTTGTATTTTCTTGTATGCTATATTTTAGAATGGGAGCTTGTATTGTGAACTTCATAGCAAAATGGGAGGTTGTGTCTGCCCTTTTTTTTTTATAGTATTGCTTAATTAGAAGTACGGGCTTGTTTGGGACAGCTTCAGCAAGCTAAAAAGTGAATCTGGATCTGGATCCACGTAGATGCACTGAAGCTGGCAGAGTCGTAGGTGTTTGATGAGACAGGTCCACCTTCATCTCTATTTCACTTCCACGTGGGTCCCACACGTCAGCACTTCATCCCCTCTATCTTCATCTTCCTACAGATTGGATCAGATCAGAGCAGAGCTTCGCTGGGGAGTGGGAAGCGGCGCACGGCCGGCCTTGAGCGGCGCGGCTGTCTGGTGGGCGGTGGGCGGCCGTCTTGCCGCAGCAGGACGCGGCGGCGGCCATGGCTGCCCTCGAGCGTCGGGGATGCGAGGCGGAGCAGCGACCTCGGGCGGGGAGGGGGTGGGCGGACACGGCCCCGCCGAGGCAGGTGGGCGGCCTCTAGAGCTCGCGCGTCCGACCATGGTGAGCGGTGTGGTGCCACCGGAGGGCTCGTGGCCGGCATTGGGCGGAGGTCGCGACCGTCGCAGAGCTCGCGGGCGGCCATGGCGCGCGGCCTAGGGAGCTCGCAGGCGGGGCGCCGGCGCGACCGGGGAGCTCGGCCTCCGGAGCTCGCGACCGGCCATGGCGCGCGGCTTGGGGAGCTCGCAAGCGGGTCTCGGGCGAGGCTCCGGCGCGGCGAGGTGCGGGGATGCGGGAGAGAAGGGGCGCTCGACGATGGTGAATGTGAGAAACATAATGAGTCGAATCGTTGCAGTGGTGGGTAATTTCCTTAAGCTCGATCAAAGTTGAATTTGCTGGAGCACCTCTCGAGAAGATCCACTAATTTGGTGAATCTAATGGCAGATCCACCATTTAGGTGAAGCAGATTCATCAGTAGAGCTGGAGATGTTTGGCAAACTTTTTTTTAAGATCTGGATCTAAATTTGGTGAATCTAGAGCCGGTGGACATGTAACTATTTTACTTAAAAATATTCGTTTGAACCATGGCATTCTGAAAAAGTGCATGGCGTGCGTTTGAACCCGCAAACATGAAACATATAAGTAATTAAAATTGTGGACTTCAAATCTGAAAATAGTTTGGAGGATGCGGGGAAATAGCTGCTCTAGGTTATAATTGGCGGAAATGTTGCTTAAGAAACATTCAAATTGAAGTTGATAAATAAGATTAGGCCTTTTCAAGACAATTAGTATAATTGGCTTATTGTTAAATGGTCATCTATCATGTTACATGATGCTGTAGACAAATGGCTTCTATGTGGTTTGATCAGATTGTTTCCTCCAGGAAAAAAAGATATAAATAGAAGTGTTGTCATAATTCAGCCATCCAGAAAACATGACTGCTTGAGACCCTATAGAAAGAAAAATTTGTATCTAGGGCACAGTGATAAATAAGATACTTTTCTTAAACAGACAAATCACTTGAGTTCTTAGTTTATATATAAGCTTGTAAATAAGACATAAAGAAAACTGCGCTTCAAGCTATTTTTTCTTTCTCATGTTTTTTTTATTTAGGAAAAGACCTAACTACAGGAAGTTGGGTACAGACCAAACTGATGTCGATCACAATAAGGTGGATTTACCAAAATGTTTTGAATACACATTATATACATATATTTTGGAAGTTTTTTGACACAGCATGCTTTATATATAGGACTTGCAACGAATATTGCAAACAACTCCCGCGTAAGCATTAGCAAAACCAAATTATTTTTGGGCAATCGGTAGCACACCCCGTAAACATTCCTAGTATGCATGAGTGATGACACTTAACACAGCTGGATGACAGATCATGGCGTGTGCACTTCAAACGAGACTCCAGCTGCCTCTGGTATTGATTAGTGCTACAATCCATCCTCTGCATGGTTATGGGTGTATTGCTTCAAACATCAGTAAGACGAAATCTTATTTTATAACATTGATCAGACCATTAACTGTAGGAACCACAAAATGTAAACACATTTGAGTTTGCAAAGGCCTAAAGGATGAATACAGACCTCTGATGCCTGCATTGTCAAGTATCAGAATACACAAGAGAGCTGAGAAGGCAGATGAAATAGCTGCATATTGCGATGGCACACATCCTTCTTTACTATTACCATAATTTTTTATTCAGATTTGCACCAACCTAATAAGTTTGCAAAATGAGCGAGCTGCCAAATTTTGGACATTGCACAGTATGATAAAAGACAAACATCTAAATTCACATATTGATAACAAAAAAAGACGGAAACATGGCAATGACTCATCCTGCAAGGCTATATGCAAAAAGGATATTAAGAACAACTCATGCTTGTGTCCAATCGAGTACATGAGGCTTTATCGGTATCACTAAACACGAATAGTCGCTATGCAAGAGAAACCTTCTGCAGGAAGGCAAGAATAGAAATCATATGTCCTGAACTATCAACAAAGGATTCATTCTTTGTTAAAAAAATTTAAAGCTTTAACCTGGATTATTAGGAATCCTAGTTTAATTACAGATTATATGAACTTTTCAATCTTTAACCCATTACCTTGCGACGCAGGAAGCTGTATCTTGTCATGGGTTTTACTGTTCTCCATGGCGCCACGGGCGGCTCGGTGCTCCGTTGGGTTGCTGAGCTGCGCCGGCGGCCATCCGATTTTCCTGTGCCATTCCTTCGCGGTGGCCCTGCTCTATTTTTCTCTATGGGTTGCAGCGGAGGTTCAGGTCCCTTTGGATGGGTGCCGCCGCCACTTTTGTCGCCGGAGCCGCAAGGCCGACGCACCACGGCACCAACGCTTGCTACAATTGACGGCGCGCACGGCGAGGCCGGACCCGTGGATCCAGGCAGCGAGTGGCAAGTGCAGCGAACGGTACGAGGTGGAGCCAAAGCGGCGCAGGTCTGGCGCGGTGGTCAGCATGGACGGGGGCCCAGCGGCCCCTGCTACCCTGGCGCGGTCGCCGCCGAGGCCCGCGCGGGCGCGCCACGTCGCCTGAGGGCGGCCACCGCCAGGGCCCGCCGCGCCGGCGCGGCGGGCGGCAGCTACGGCGGCCCCGCCGAGGGCTACTGCCAGGAGCCGACCGTGCCGGGGAGATGCGTCCGCGCCCGCGGCAGGGGCCGGCCACCACGGGGGCCCGCGTTTGGGGAGGCGTCGGCAGCGACGGATGCGGCGCGCTGGCGCAGGGGGGGGGCACGGCCACGCCGCCGCGCAAGGGCCAAGGGCGGCCACCGGTGAGCCCCTCCCACGCCGGCGTAGCGCCGCGTGTACACTCGGTGCCCGGGAGAGGAAGCCAGAGGAAGCGGCGGAGGCGTCGGTACTGGCCTCACAGAGGCCACGATTCGCGAGCGCCCGTTTCTCTAGCTGAACAAGCGACGGACGGGTCGATGCCCGAACTGACCCACAATCGGACGGTCTAGATCACCTGATTGCTCGATCCGACGGCTCGCGCTTAACAGGCGATGTGGCACGATGGTTAACCCGCTTTTGGTGCAGGAATCGTATCTAGAGATGGGCAACCGGCCGGCACAGCCCGGCCCAGCACGGGCCCGACAAGGCACGACACGACAGGGCCTAGTGTGCCGCCGGCCTGTGCCTCCCTGGGCTTCGTGCCTGGCCGACGGCCCAGGCATGGCCCTACGGGCCGCTTTCTGTGCCGGGCTGGCCCGTAAAGCACGGTCTGTGAAGCCTATTGGCTCAACCCGAGGCCCACTTGCTAGGGGAAGGGGAAGGGGGGCGGAGGAGAAGCCGAGCATGTCGAGGACTCGAGGCCGTCGCCCCTGTAGGCGCAGCTCCCGTTATCCCGCGCGCTCGCCCTCGAGGCAGATCTGGCCGTAGGCGGTGGCTGCGCACCCACGTGCGGCAGGAGAAGTTGGCGGCGGCCGTGCACCCAGGGGAGGGAAGAGGAGGGCGGTGCGGGCATGTCCGTCTCGAGAGCGAGGGAGGGAATGACTCGGTGGCGGGGCTGGCGGGGCTGCGGTTGGTGCTTGAGGCCGGTCGTCTGCGCACTTGAAGTCGCCAAGCTGGTCCCTGTGCGGGGTGCATGGAGGAGTAGACCAGTAGGGTGAGGAGCAGGGTGACGTGTGGGGGGTGCGTTAGGAAGTCGTGACTCATGACTGTGAGTAGCCGAGCGGGAGGTGTGCGGCGCAGGGGAGGGAAAATGAAGTTAGGGCTACGGTGGAAGAGGCCGCTATGCTGTGGGCTCTTAGCAGGCTGTGTTGGTTAATGGGCCTCTACCAGGCCTCTCACCAATTTACGGGCCGTGCCGGGCCAGCCCGCGTGCCGGGGGTGCGGCCCAAGCACGGCCCTATGTACCAGGCCATGCCAGCTCGGGCCCGCTAGCCACCGGGCCGGGCCATGCTTGGGTCGAGCCAAAAATGCGGGCTTTGTGCCGGGCTGTCGTGCCCGGGCTGCATGCCCATATATACCTTATCGTTTATATATACTCCCTCTGTTCCTAAATAAATAAATATATTCTTAGAGTTATCTTAAATCTAACTTTTAAAATTTTGACCGAATTTCTAAAGACCCTCTGTCTCAGGATATTAGGCGCAACTCAGAAATCACAAAGACCAAGGAGCATATTAATTAGCACGTGCTCCTAGAAATTTCCCTTGGGTTCCATCTCCGATTAATTGCATGAAACGTTACTCCGCGGCGCCATTAGCCAAATCGCCAAGCTCCGAGCGCATGCATACTTGCAGATGCAAATTTGATGGAGCCCATCTAACGGATGGGAGTTGAACGAGGAGGTCCAACAACCTGCAGTAAATTCTGCATGCAAAATAGTCTACCGTGTTTTGCTGTTGCATGCATCCGAAGAGTCATGCGCCTTGTATCCTGGGACTCACTAAAAAAACAGTTACGCCTAATATCATGAGACGGAGGGAGTAGGGTTTAGGGTTTATTTTTCGTAAGGTCCTCATTTTATGTCATATATGTTGTTACTATCTTATACAAAGTTAGTCAAACTTAAAAAAGTTTGATTGACACGGATTCTAGGAATTGATTTGTTTGAGCACGGAGGAAGTATGCATGTTACAAGGGATGTAAGCGAGTTTTGAGAGCCACATGTAAACTCGTATCAATTTTAATCCATGCGTCAGTTGGATGGATTAAAACAGATAATTAATTGGTTTTTATCCCAACCTCCTCCAAGTCCCAACACATATGGAATCTGGTGGATATCAGAACCCACCTAAAACATCATGTATGTAGTTTTTAGAACCAATCCACTAACATCTCTATTTAGAGTTGGAGAAATTTAAACCTAATTCAGTATTGGACCTTCTCTTTTTTACATATTATATAAGGTTTGTTGCAAATCAAACATTTATAACTTTCAACATCAATTTGAAAAAAACCCATATAGTTTGACAACATGTGAACTATATGTTATGACAATATTTCTCATAGTGAATCTTAAAATATATATCTTATGTTATTAAGTATTAACATATAAAGATTTTTTAAAAATTAATGGTCAAAGATAGAAATGTTTGACTTAAGACAAAACTAATGACATATAAACAATATCTGGCTTTAATAAAAGCGAAATCAGCTGGCAGAAGGCAGAACGGAATGTTGAGAAAAATAAGGATAAAGTGCAAAGTGCAACAAGTACCAAGCCTACAGCTTATAAATATGGAGATAGATACAGAACATGAAATTTTGCATCAAATCAATTGCCACCACCCATGTAAACTGCAAAATGGATGGTGGATCCCTTGCCAATGTTGCAATCCGCAATCGTGCTCGAGTCTGGAAGCCTGTTTCCGTACACCAAGTGATACGGATAGCCCGCTGGCAGTTGTAGTCCCACTTTCTCATTGATCTTGTGCTTCACAGTGGCAATGGTGTCATGATTCTCAACATCCAGTGTTATGGCCTTATCCGTGTGCAGCTTCACAAAGATCTGAAAATTGTTTTGCTGGAGCCTCAGCGAAAGTTTGCACTTGTCCTCCAGCTTGCTCTTGAACACGTCCGTCAGGGCCGTCTTGGATGTCAAGGTTGCTCTTAGCAGATCGACAGCCTGCGAGACATCGATGGTGACAGCCAAGTGAGACGTCCACGAGAATAGTGGCTGAATGGATAGAATAGAAAGCACGCAGCTTACCTCTTGTTTGCTGATTGCAATGTCCATCTCCAATACCCTATCTTTTCCTCTATTACACCAATGCTTCATAACCAGCATTGCTGAAGCCTGATAGATAAGCAAATCATCATCTACAACGTATGTGCCGTTGTTAACAAACTGCGGACTACAGAAAGAACAGGTGTTGTTCTTATCATAGCTGAACGAACGGCAATACTGAACACGGCACAGGCAGAATCACTTCTGGGTGGATTGTTTAGAGTGAAGATTGAACGGGGAAATGCTGGGGTCCAACAACGTCTTTCTATAGTAGCCACGTCCTGCTAGTAACCCATTCGCGTCTAGATCAACTGCACTGCCGTACAGATTATCCAAACTGCATCCGAGATGAGAAGTTCCTGCAAAGTTCTTGATTAGACAGGCCACTGGGTAAACCAAGAAACTGAGGAGCAGGTCCACGAACTCATGGTCGCATTCAGCGTACATGACTTTCTTTCGTGACTGTCGTTGAACACCTTGATGCTAAACTGTGCCCAAGCATCAGTTTCTTCATCGCTCGTATGATCAATGTTTTGACCAATGCTTTTTTTTTCTCGAATACGCAAAAGATTTGCGTATCATTGCAATTAAGAAAAGTTTGACCATACAAACGACATGATTCTGATGAGCGCGCTACGTGGTCTTACGCAATGTTTTGAACAATGCTCGAGTTCACTGTGGCACGAACTTCAGTTTCCTTGTAAAGGAAGGTATCAGTGAATATAGTCTTGGACGAAAAAGAGGCCTTCAGCATAGATACGACCTATTTCAAGCACAAAACACAAGTCAAAATGGAAATTACAAGAGACAATGCATTTTTTTAAGTTAGTCCATACAAATGTGCTTTGCAACTTAAAGTACTTGCTTACTCCTAAAAAACAGTACTTGCTTACCTCCGCCCAGCCTACGCACACTTCGATCTCCTCAAAGCTGCGATCAATTCCACCGGAACTGATCGTCTGAAGCAGCAAGTGTGTATTGGCAGTGGATGCTGGCTTGATCACCAGGTCATCACTGATCACAAACCGCCGTTTCCCCTCGACCAATTTCCATCCGACTTGTTTTTGGTCGAACAGATGCGCCACTCTGGCCATGACTTGCCAACACCTGCAGTCCGAGCCGTGGCCTTGTAGGCTCGGCTCGCTCCTGACGATCGCACCAAGGTAGCAGCTGCAACCATGTTTCCCGTGCCAGGAGCACCAAATCTCCCTTTTTTATGAAGAAAAAAGTACAGATCAGTGCCGGCTCTGTGCCTCTGTGATCAGCAATGCTGTTAAGCTACTAATGGTATGTATTAGATTCAAAGGCAGCGCGGATGAGATAACATACTTGAACTCCTCTTCATGCCGAGGCCGGAGAAGCATGTCGTGGCACGCGTCGAACCTCAGCAGCTTGCTTTCCCTGAGGCAGCTCACGCCCTGGCAGAGGGTCGAGAGGCAGCCGGGCGACGACGCGCCCGCGACGAGACGCGCGGCGGACATTGGGAGCGTCAGAAAGCTCAGTAGCACGTCGACAAAGTCGGAGCCCGCGTCGGCGAACAGGACGCGGTTCCGCGCCCTGTCCACGGCGAGCTTGATCTTGATGCTGCCGTCGGCCATGGCTTCACTACCCCGGGGAACCCTCCCAAACCCTACTGGTGCTGCAAGATGAGACGGCCGCCCGGGAACCTATATACTAGCAGTATTAATCTGTGACCGGAAGAACTGGCGCATCGGGAAACGACGCCGACGCCTTGGGAATTTTGAGAGTTTGATGGTGGGAGCAGAATCCGAGGAGACCTTCCTTCTCTGCATTTGCTGCACAGGCTGAAAATTCCAACAGTCGCAAAAAAAAAGGCTGAAAATGCCAACTCCTCCAGTCCTCCTGCAACGGCAACCCATTGGGCTTTTCCTCGTCTGCAGCTTTCCTCCTTGTTGGCCCAGCATTCGCAGGCAGCCCAATCCGCGAAAAAATAGCTCTAATCCCCAGAGCTGGGCCTGGCCCACGCATCAGATGCCACCACCGCTCTCTCTCCTTCGTCCTCACGACGTTTCGTCGGGGTCTCTCGCCGTCGCTCTCTATGCTCTCCTCCACCATTTTCCCCGGACATTTCCTCCTCCTCCTCCTGCTTCCCCGTCCGGACACTCGAAGGCCTCCCTGGTAAGCCCCCGACGACCCGACCCACCCCGCTGCTCCTAACCCGCGAGCCGTTCATCTGATTCCGCCCCCCGTCGTCCTTGCATGTCCCCATGATTCCGCCAAAGGTCTCGTTGTTTTTAATCGTATTATAGGGACGTGGTTAATCGCGGTCTGCTGTCTCCTTGGGGGGGGGGGGGGGGGTCCGGACGCATGTGACCGTGGAATTCCGTTCCTCGTGCGCGATTAGGTTGAGACGTCGTGATCTTCATGCGACCGCCGTACAAACCCGTGATCCTAATTGGTAGGGTTGTCGATGTCATTATCGTCGCATAATCGTGGCTTAGAATAGATAGACAGGGACAACAAACGTAAAGCGGCGAAACAAGCAGTCATGAGCGCGGTCTTTCTCTATCATTAATTATCTTTTTTTTTCTCAACTGTTTAGGACCCGGTGGGTCCCGAAATACCCCCTCTAGTCAACTAACACGACTTCAAGTTTTTGTGGTTGCCTTTTTGACAATTCTTAGTTTCTCGACTCCCGGAATTCCAATCATTTCTAGTTGGTTAATTTTGTCTGCTTCTTGCAGTGAATTTGCTAACTCTGCCCCAACTTTGTTGCTAGTGCAGATGGATCCATTGGAAATGCAGGACGACTCAAAGAAATCCAATAAGCCCAAATGTATTTGTCCCTGCCCCCTTTTTTATTTCGTTTGTCTTGCAAATGTATGCTGTGTTATCCGAGGAAATTTCAGGGTTTAATATTATTTGTATAAAATGGTGAGTGCAACATAATCTGTACATAAGACTCGGCCCCTTCCTATGTGCAGATTCTAAGTTTACGCAGCAGGAGCTTCCAGCATGCAAACCACTGCTAACTCCAGCAATTGTAATTAGCTTGCCCTCTCACCACTATTGTTTTGTTTTCAGATGAATGTTTGCTATATTATCAGTTAGACTTATTAGCACCTTTCATGAGCACAGGTCATTTCTACCTTCTTACTGGTTGGCATCCTATTTGTCCCAATTGGTCTGGCATCGCTTTCTGCGTCACAAGAGGTATATCAAAATATGTTTGTACTATGTTTTAAAAAAATATGTTCGTACTACACTTTGCATTTGTTTTTCTATTATCTGCTGCATTTATTTAGTCTGTTACTTGACTGCAATGTAGATTGTGGAGCTGGTACATAGATATGATACAAATTGTGTGCCCTTGGCTGATAAAGTTGGGTTCATTCAGGACACTAAGACAGACAAATCATGCACAAGAACTCTAACTGTGAGTATGCCAGCAAAAGTTGCCCTTATTTATTGCTTGTGCTCTTAAGATACAATCCTTCATATTTTTATCCAGCAGAATTTGTAGTGGACTAATTGGTTGGTGTACGTCATCTAGGTGCCTAAGCATATGAAGAACCCAATTCAAATATATTACCAGATCGGTGACTTCTATCAAAACCATCGACGGTACATTCTTGAACCAAATGTTCTATCCAAAAAACTTAATTGCTTCAGTTCCTTTTGCATCTAGTACTGCATTAACAAGCATATTGAACCATGATATTGTTGAATTAAATACCATGATTATTTTGTTATGTCTACTGCATTAGAAGGGAGCCACGGACATTGAACTGCTATTAATTGACTTTGATGATGTCAGGTCAGCAGGAATTAATTATGCTGACATTTAGACCTTTTTTTTTGCATTCTTTTCTAAGGTACGTGAAAAGTCGCAGTGATAAACAATTGCGGTATAAAGATGCTGCACACTTGACAAAAGATTGTGAGCCTGAAGTTTATGGTGCTGATGGTGCTCCAATCGTTCCATGTGGTCTCGTTGCTTGGAGTTTGTTCAATGATACATATACAATTTCGGTCAACAAGAAAGCTATTGAAGTGAATAAAAAGGATATAGCTTGGCAGAGTGACAAAAACAAAAAATTTGGCAGTGATGTTTATCCCAGAAACTTTCAGAACGGAAATCTTATAGGTGGTGCTAAGCTAAATGAGAGCATACCAGTATGTGAGAGTGTTTCTGTGTCTTCAACAGTTAATAATTTCACCATCTCCATTTCATCTATTTTCTTCTTGTTTTGATCTAATTTAAATTATTGTCTTTCCATTTTTATCTGTCAATTGTTTAGTTAAGTGAGCAAGAGGATCTCATTGTTTGGATGAGAACTGCTGCCCTCCCAACTTTCAGAAAGCTCTATGGAAGAATTGAGACAGATATTATGGAAAATGATCAACTCACAGTGGTTATACAGAACAACTATAACACATACAGTTTTGGAGGGTCAAAAGCACTGGTCCTTTCAACTACATCTTGGATTGGAGGCAAAAATAATTTTATTGGTGTCGCATATCTGACTGTTGGTGGTTTTTGCCTTTTCCTTGCACTGTTTTTTGTAGTTCTCTACATGATTAAGCCAAGGTATAATGTATTGTTTCTCTCAGATGCAGATGCATTTTCTATTATATTAGATTAAGTTAAAACTGTTCTTAGTTCTGTGAATGTTGAGACGCAAATACTAGGAGGCGCCAAATAGTTTTCCTTGTATTATGAATATTGAGACCTGAATTCTACGGAGTAAAAACCAGCAACTTGAACATGCTATATTCTGTTGTAACTTCTGTTTTTTTTTTATTAAAACAAGCTGTCAGTTCTAATATTCACATTGAGAAAATCACACAATTCTTTTCAGGACTCTTGGAGACCCCTCATTCTTGTCATGGAATAGGTGTACCCTGGACTATCCAAACTAATACATCGGAACCTTCTCTTTATAGAAATAGAAGAGCACTCTAATGGTAAGTATATTGCACTTGCATGGGTGTGCTATTGACTCCAGAGCCATAATATGGTGCATGGTGGAAAATATATTTGTACTAATTTTACCTCGCAACGCGATATTTGCTATAACACCTTGACCCCATAAGCTTCAAGAGCTAGACCTAGGTCAGAGTGGGCTGGTTTGATCAGTTGTTTGGTCGGGTTGTTATTTTTATTTCTATTTCTCAGGTGATTGTGTTTTGTCATGTACTGTGCCGCAACCCCTCTGCTTTGCCTAGGTGAGTCAGAGCGGTTGCTTGTAAGGGACATGTTTTCCTTCTCTTTAATACAAAAATAAGCAGCTCTCCTGCATGTTCAAAAAATTCTACTGTAACTTGAATAAAATACAATTATTTACGTCCTATTCTTATTTTCTTATTTTATAGTTCCCCTATTTGTATCACACAAAGATAGTAGCATCCGAGTCCAAGTGGCTTATGTTATTTTTGATGATATGATGTCTTATGAGTTTCAGTTCAACTTTGTTTATCAGTGTTTTATACTTGTAACCTAAAGTACTTGTGACTAATCATGAGTCGAGCTGTGCAAGCAGTTAGTAACTTAGTATCCCATTTTATAAATTTTTAGGACATATCAGTCAAGAAAATACAAATTACAGGCAGATATCATATTGAAAACAATTGTTTGAGTTTCATAAGATGATTTATTGAATAATTACATCAAATTCCTTCAACATGGATACAGCGGGCTTGGTTTGTAATCACTTATTAAATGATCAACAGACCAACTAGTTGTTGCTGCTCAATATATTTGAAAGAAAGCTCAATATATCTTTCTCGATTGTGTAATCTAATCTTTGCAAATGCTTCTGTCCAGATCAGTTTGTCAGTAACCTAAATGCTTCCATCAACTGTTGCCACTGTTTGCTAGTACAGTAGCTTGACAACTCGTCGTGTTCATCTGGGTTCATCATTCGCAGGGCAGGATTATAGGCTCCATGGGTGTGGATATGCTCCTAACGCACATTTCAGGGCCAATCTCTGTGACCCCTTCTTCCTGTGTAATTATAGTTCCACTGATCAACAACCTTGTTCTGGAGACGTCATGAATTAATTAAATGAAAGGAAAAGGTAGCGTAAAGAGAACACAGCTCATGCCTTTGCAAGATTCCTGAAGTAAATTGTTGTGTAGTTCCCTGTTGGGAAGAAAACTTCTATGAGATCTCCAAGAACCAACTGAGGCTGTGAGATAGCTCCATCGTACCAATCTTAAAGTGGGGAAAAGAGTAAATGTCTATGACACCATTTCTTTGAGATGGAAAAATCCATTAGATCATTACATAGGTAAAAGATATGATACTGGAGTTTTAGCAGTAGGATTGCCTCCATTACCAAGTGTCCCAGAAGCTCCTATCCTTTTGTCAAATCTCCATATGCTGCGGTTTGATACAAAACTATAGCAGGAGTCGTGGCTAACATTAATGTTCTCCAAAAAAGTGGATAGTTTGTACTCTGCAGGCTCCAAAGCATATGTCTGATCAATGACCACGTCCACTGTCTGGAATATTCGTGAACCAAGCTAGTTAACTGCTACTGAGTGCGGAGTCACTGAAAAATGTGTCAAGTAATAGCACATTTGGTGTTTTGCAGGAATTTTTTTATTTGATACAACCAGTCAAGTTATAAATGTTAATTGTGTCAGGATTAACCCTTTTCTGACCAAAAGAGAATGTGCCTTTTGTACATCACATGCAACAGTGAGCTCGTCAACTATTAGCATTACAGGGTTGTAATATTAGATTCTGAATGGTTGATACTCACACAAAGAATAGCATGGAAGTTGTCCATGTCCTCTGGATCTGAACTATTAAATCTCTTATTTGTAATAGTTGCATCAACAATTTCTGCCCCTGCATCTGTGACATACTGTTCATGAAACCAAACATGAACATCAGTGGTCCACTTTTTTTGTTTTTTATTTGAGTACTACTCTTTAAGGAGGAGTCTTCAATAGAAAACGAGACCTTACCTGTAAGGTGTAACTTTCTTTAACAAATGTCCACATCCCCTACAACAGTAGATGGAGAACGCTTAATGATTACTAAGCATGAGTTATTCTAAAAGTTACTTTGGATGAGAAAGTTACAATTTTACTGGTTTGCAGTTGCATACCTGTGTGAATTCAATCCACGCTACTATAGGCTTGAATCTTGTGCTAAGGTTTGCAGCTGCTTTGCTTAAGCACAGGTAGTTTGTCTTTATCTGCAATGACGTACTGGAGAAATGAGACAAATAGTTCGCTAGGTGTGGTTTTATGGCACCGTCCAATGCCATAAAACCATACTTTATTACTTATTCATATATCAATTCAAATAAAGATACATGTAGTGGTCTTAACTGCATCATAGACAGCATTAGCCCTGCCTTCAGAGTTTGTGAAAGTTCCAAGTACTTGATCCACTCAACCCTCTGGAGACAAGTTCCAGATTGAACTCAGGTTCCTTTTATTGCTTTACCTGCAATGGTGTATCCTCTTCTAAGGGTACATATGCTGCAAAGTTGCAACCTCTATCTTCATCTGTATCGCTTATGAAATGTGCGGTAAACTGCGAGAGTGTCTGTGCATCAGTTCTATTCACAAGCTGGGCATTTCCACTTGTATATGATTGGAGCACACACTGAGAAGCAACTTGGTTTGATGTTATTCCTTTCAAGTTTTCTATCACTCCAAGCAGCTGCATATATGTCAATGTACATATGAGGTCAATAATAATTTATAAGCTTAAAGCATTCACATCTGCTAGTCTCTCTTGGCTTTTCTGTTTCTTTTGCTGCTCTTGTTTCATTGTGTATGCATACTAGTTATTAGTGACAGCTAACTACAATTTTCTTAGCCTTAAGTTCGGAGTTGATGTGGAATCGAATATTCAGATATTTGTCTGAGTTTCTTTTCCCTTGCAGAAGGAGGAACCATTCCCATTGGACTATGCTGCAGAGTTTCAGTTTGTGTCCTGCATTGTTCACCTCAAAGAATGACACTGCAAACAAAGGTGGAAACAATATTAGTCCGATCAGTTATGGATGTATGTACATAGAGAGAGAGAAAAAGGGTCAAAAGTACTTGGGCACTTGGCAATAAAATGGAGTTGTCATGAATTATCTATTCAATTGAGGAAAGATTCTCTTGTACTGATAAGTATATTTTAGCTTGCGCTGACTGAACGAACTGATAATGACAAGTGAATGGGTTCAGCTGTGAAAAGTTCAGAAATGTTATTGCCAAGTTTATTTGGAATTTTGGATAACTTACTACAGGTTGGTATGTTCTAGGTGTACGTTACCCATTTTTGCAGCATGTGTGTTCAAGGTGGTGTTTGGACGAAGGAGTTGCACCATTTTCCATTGTTTTTGAGGTAAAAAGTTCAGAGCAGCAGACGGTGAGGAAGTACCTGGAGAAGTCGTGGTGTCGACGGAGAAGTTGGCGAGGGGGATGACGAACGACTTGATCCTCCCCGTGCAATACTTCGTCTTTGATGCCATCTTGGACGTGTTCTGCAGGTATGGTGAGCGCTTCCTTCACAGGAAATTGGCTGACGAAGAATCCGGTGACGCGATAGCTTATTACCTGCATGAGAAGGTAGCTCTTGCCGTCGCCGGAGTTCTTGATGACCTTGAAGCTCTGGCCGTAGTATATCCGAAACATCGTGGCGTCCTCCACCCTGGACATCGGCCCGGTCACCACAGGCGCCGGCACGGCCGCGGCCACTAAAGCGAGCGCCCACGGTGAGAGCGCCGCCCAGAGCAGCACCGCCGCCTGCAGGCAGCAGCGGCTACGAGCAGCGGTCATCGCCCTCAATGCGCGGCTCACGAGCTCTTCCCAGCTCGTGAAGAACAGTGATGGCTTGCCCCTGACGGGAACTTGGGAAGTGAAGGGAAAGAGAGTGAGTGATAATGTGATATGAAGAAGAGCCCGTGAGCATGCACTCGGCCGTGACAGAGACCTTGGGAAGCTCTTCTTGTCACGGCGCGGAATTGGTAGGATTCCTGTGACTGCGAATCGACTGGATTCGTGAATTGGCAAGGCAATGCACGTGCTGCATGCTGGCGCATTGCGGTGCATGGCTTGCTTTGCGGCTTTCAGCCTCTAGCTTTTGACCTTGCTCGCTCCTTCCATTCCTGAATAATGTACACCTCAATCAAGAAAAAAGAAACATAATGTAAATGTATGATGCTAATGGCTTGTTTGGATATACTCGTATTCAGATTAATTCATATATGTTGGAGTTGATTGAGGTTGAAAATTTGTAAGGTGTGTGGTTATCTTTTTTCCCTTTGACTATAAACTTTAAGAAATACCCGATTCGAAGGAAAAAAAAAACTCCCTCTAGTCAATAAAAGAAGGCGTTCTGTCTTAAACGTCTTCTATTATTGAATATATCTCACAACTATTGAATGTATCTCACAATTATTTAATCATACATATAATATAATTTGTGGGTTTGCATTAAAATTTTCTGTAAAAAGGAGCATAACAATTTATATCGAAGTTCTTGTCCATATCCAAACTGTTATATAGTCAAGTATGAACTTACCAATTTGCGAGCAGAAAATAAAAAAAAACAAAAGAAACAAAAGGGTAAAAAAAATTGTGGAGAAAAGGTGGGTATCACAAATCACAAACTTAACACTCAAGAGTCCACGGCCAATTCTTTCACCTTTCACTCAGTCGATGACTTGATGGTGGAGGCCATGGCAGTAGTGTATATAACGGTCAGAAACTTGCAAATGATATTGGATGCAACAATAATGTCCAAGTTTGAAACTGATGCTATATATGGAAAGTGTAAGGGTGTGTTTGGCAGCAAGAAATGTTTATCTCAGAAACGGTAAGAATCGTTTCTCTGGTTAGAAGCTAGAATCATCCAAATTATCATCATTTCTTTCTCATTTACTCTTCGAGATTCTAAATCCAAGCAATCTAAATCCGAAACGTTTCTTGGAAAATCTAGATCTCTACCAATGCGTTGCATATACATGGCAAGATCAGGAAAACAGCAACGTTCATGGAGTAATTAGAGATAAAATAAAAGCCCATTTTTTTTGGTAATTGAACTCTCTCGGTCTCTCCCAATTTACAGCCAAACAGGAAGCCGGGAATCCTTGTCCTCTCTCCCAATTTACAGCAAAATAGGAAACCAACGGAAGTCAATCAAGGCAAATAGGTGGACGGGGTGGCAGACGAGGGCGCGGTGCAGGACGCGCTGGTGGCGGCGCTATTGGAGCTCTGCGAGGCGCGCTGTCGTTCTGCGCGGAGGATGCCGGCGGGTACTTCCGGAGGCAGCCGCGCGGGCGCTGGTGCGGCGGGCCGGTGGCGGCGATGGCACCCCCGGACGTGATTCTGCTGTCCGTGCGCACCATCACGTACCTCTGCGACGCCATGCCGGGGCCACGGACGCCGTCGTCCGCCACGGCCTCCTCCCCGTGCTCTGCTCCCGGCTGCTAGGTAACCCAAAAGCTCTTACGACCTGATCGGGCGATCACATTTACCTGAGGCGCTTTATCCGACCATTCTGTTGCGTATGCAGTGCTTGCAAGCATTTGAGAAGATATCGCGGAGGCAGCCTACCCAGTGCTTGCAGGTGGGCATGATCAACGCTGTGCTGGCATTCATTGACTTCTTCGCGGCAAGTATTCAGGTTAGAATCTTAAACAAATCACCTTTGAAACTGAGAATTTAGTACAATTGCTAATTTGATGCCCACTTCTATGGTTCAGAGGGTTGCAGTGGCCTTGTTTAGATTGGGATTATGAATAATTTGATGCCTTAAAAGATTTCTATAATTTACAATTCAGAGGGTTGCAGTGTTAAAGATTTGATCGCAAGTGAAAAACTTACAATCTAACAAAATGGTCCCGGCAGATTGCTCCCAGTTTTTTCTGGATTCGGTCCCAACTCTGTGTAATCTTCTGCAATCTGAGGACAAATTGGTAATGGTGTTCCCCCATCTAGCTGAGATCATTTTGGCATGTAAAGAGTGCTCTGCTTTTGTTTCTAAGTGATGTCAATTTTCAGATAGTGGAGAAGGTTGCAGCGTGCTTGATAAGCATCGTGGACTCCTTTAGCGCTTCAGTTGATCTTGTCGACCAGCTCTGTCACCAGGGTGTTATAGAAAAAGTCCTACCTTTTATCCACACCGGTGGACTCATGGCCCTTAGTCCATCGACGTGATTGTACGTTGCTCGATCTACAACTTCTTGCATGTGCTCGCTCGATATGTGTTGCGGGAGCTGACTATTGTGTCTCGTGGTTGCAGAATCTGATTGGGCTTCTTGCTAGGCTAGCCTGTACTTCACTTGTGGCAGTGAAGTCACTATTTGAGCTGGGTGTTACTAGCACAATAAAGGGTATTTTGATCACATCAAACATCTCCCATGGCAGGTTGGCCTTTTCACATCTTTACTTTCAGCGAAGTAGTACTAGATGTGCATAGCTGTTGGTCGCGGCTAACAATAAATCTTTTATAGCTATTATGATATATACTTTTCCTTTTAAGCAAAATGTTATGCGTGTGCTCTTCCCTTGACTCATGTGCATTCGATGGTTTTGCTTTTGCACGTGACATTGACTTAGTTTGTTTAACGTTTTATAGATCCAATAAATAATTCATTATCCTATTTTTGTATTGAAAGAAAATTGTTTATGATATATGAATTGACATTTTGAAAATTCAAATAATATTTCCGTTGCATTTAAAATAGTCTTTAAAATTTTATAGAAAAGATAAACATAAATAAATATATCAAAATTATATCTTCATGTTTCCTTGAACATTTAATGGATTTTTTTCCCGAGCAATGCACGGGCATATCCCGACCACCTGTGAGCCCCAAGCGAGAGGAAGAGCTGTTGCGATAGGAAGAAGAAGCAGGTCGAGCGGGGTCCGCCGAGAGAGCCAAACGGTTTTTGTCTTCTCTCACGGCCCATACCCCACAATAGTTTTTCTACCGCCACATCTCACAACTATTTTTTCAGAAGCCACAGCTTAACTAAACGCACCCGAAAGTAGGGATGAGGGTGCTGTGAAATTTGTACTAGCCAAAAAAAATTGCTTTTGGTTGTACAAAATATATAAGATGTGAAATCTGATTGTTTGTTTTATTTTTTAACAAATTTTATCATCTAAAATCTCTATATATTGATCACATTATATATTGATCTAGCACTACCATGCTACATCTAAAATCTATATCAATCTTTAAAAATGTTTGCATAGTGTAGTGTTTCCTGATCTTGGTAAATTTTTTTTGAGCAAACTACAAAAGCTGCCGGGCATGATGGATACTGTCAAGGTGCTTCCAAATGTTACTGAAACCTCGGGCTGGCATAACTGGTGGTGCATTTAAGTACAATCAAAAGTATAGACCTTTCTTGGAACGTGCAAATCTATTAGTGTTCTCAAATTTTCTTACATTCATCAAGAGATCTGCAGCGACAATTGATCATGCGGTTTTGAGTGCATTAGTTGATAGGTGGTATGATGACACAAACACTTCTCACTTTCCGTGTGGAGAAATGACACATATTTTTAGAAACTTTTTAGAATTGATTTCATATTATTAAATTAAACTATTGAATTTGTAGATATTAAAACCAGTTTTTACTATTTTTATAAAACACATGTACAGATAAAAACATCTTTGGAACGAGGGCCAAATTTGTCAACTTCCATAGTTTGTTGCCAAAGGATATTTGGATGTTTAGTACGATGGTTAAAATTGGACTCTGGCATATCAATAGTAAAAAAATTGAATTTCTTCCACAGGAAAAGAATAATACCCGGCCACTTTAGCACGGGCCTAGCGGCAGCCAAAGTCAAGATCAATTAACATAAATTAATTCCTTGTCGACTTGAATCAAATGTTAGAATTACATAATTTTATGACTCCTCATCCATAATTCAATAGTACTGTAACAATACATGTATATAGTATAAAAACTAAAGTTGTATGGTATTTTTACATGTAAATATTTTTGTGCTTTGCACTGGAGAAAAAATCTTTCAAATTTGTATTTTTTATACAAAGTCATGCATTAATTTGATACAAGCTTAACAAAACATTGTCATATTATTGGCATCAGCTTGAAAATAAAACATAAATAGATCTACAACGTTCTTATTCTCATTTCCTATGAATATTCAATTACTTATTTTTTTTTGTTGCAACGCATGGACATATTTGCTAGTAAAATAAAATCGTGGAAAAGTTGAGTTTGACTATTTTTCCAGGAGAAGCAAATGGCGCCGCTTATGATATATCTAGAATTTGTGTTATGCATGAGATCGCTTATAATTGGGTCGATAAACCCTCAGACATTAGTAAGATCTAGGACGATATAAGTGTTTTTTTATAATAATCAATAAAAAAGGCCTGATGCTTAAACACAGTATTATTGGCGATTAGTATACAGCTGGGCCTAGAGATGCCGGTGGGCTCCATGCCCATGTAAATTTGCAAGGTATCCGATCCATATGACAGTCGCAACAAATCTCCCCGCACCTTGCCTGCCCCGTCCATCTCCCGTTTCCCAGCTTGCTCTCCCTCTCTCTCTCTCTCTCTCTCGGCGACGAGCCTGGGCGACCGCCGACGCCGCCGCGCCGAGCCCAGGTCTCCATCGGACGCTTCGCAAGGTCTTGTTCAGTCCCTTCGCCGGCGACGAGCAACACTAGGTACGTCCACTCCTCTTCCCTTCCTGCTGTGCGAAACCGAGCACCCAAACCCTAAACAAATTTGTTTGTATTCGGATGAATCTTGTTGCATTTGCTATCCTCTTTTTCATGATTCATTGTTTTTGCGTGATTCTTCTGTTAGATCAGGTGCATGATTTAGCAGCGGCAAATATGGAGTCGGCAAAAGATTACTCCCTCTTTAGGTTGTTTGGTTGGACGATTTGATCCCGTCACCGCTTCACAGTGTGAATGGATTGCGTTGATTGCCGTTCGGACGGACCGGCCCGTAAATAGATGTCAGCGTGAATGGATACAGCGTAGTATATCTCTGTTACCCCTCCTCTCGCAGTGCTATTCGCTCCGTTCCCGGAGTCAGCTCCGCTGCCCCGTCGTCACCACTCACCCCGGTGTGCACATCCAACCAAACAAATCGTGTTAACCCTTGCCTTGTAATGGTTGGTGCTGGTTTCAGTTCCAACTTACGTTGCCGTTGCCTGTGCCGAAACAAAGTTTCTGGGTCGTAAACGGTAATGCAAATGGGATCTATCACGGCGCTAGTGGTTCCAGGTAATGGAAATCGTCGATTTGTTTGTTTTGTGACTGCGCAAGGGAGCCGGTCAACGGGGTAGTTTAGCGCCAGGTGGTGAGCGGTATCTGCATTTCATAGGCTCGTTATGGTTCACGGGGTCATACGTTACTAACTAGACAAACCAAACAGGAAGGAGCGTAAATATATTACGCCGTGAACTGGTAAGGGGCCACGAACCCCAACCAAACAGCACTAGCGTATAGCTCTTGGCTTCTTGCAAAACTGTATGTATTTCTTGGCCTTTTATTACTCAGTTATATGCATTCATACCCATGGAACTTCCAATTTTTTTATTTCAATAACTTGTCTCAGCATGATTAAATCATTCATCTTTCTGAACCTGATGCACTAAAATTTAAGTTTAAGAAAATGTTTTTTTGGTTGTTACTGAAAATTTAACATAGGCAAATAGAAAAACACAGAGATTAGCATGAGTTGGGTACTTTGCAACGCCTTCTCAGTTTGATTATGTATTTGGTTTAGTTGTAGAAACTTGCTCTCCTACACCAAATGAGATAACCTTACGTGACTTTCGGATTATAATTTTTTTTTTTCATAGCACTCTTTTGATTTCAGTTATTGGATCCCGCATTGTGGGATGCTTGCCAAAGGGAGGAAGGTAGCTGGAAGGGGTGAAGAAATGTCTGCACATTATGCGTTTGGACCACAGGATGATGATGCAATTATTAAACACAGGCTTCTGACTAGGACGACGACCACCAGGGGTGAACCGCCACTAAAGAAGCTTCAGAAGAAGTTCATGTCCTTTGCCACTGAGATCGAGAAGGACACAGATAATGTAAGTGACTGCGAAAGACTGTACAAGGCCTTTCTACAGGAAATTAACACCTTTGAGCTACCTCTTTTGAAAAGCAAGGCTGTGGTTGATGCAAACATTAGGGAGAAGGAAAGCTTTAATGAGCTGCAGGTTGAGATTGAGCGACAGATCTTGCAAGCTAAGACTGATATTGAGGACCTTAAGAAGCAACTTGAGCAGAGCAAGATCGAGAGACAGCACAAAGAAGAGTGTGAAGCCATCCGGAAGCTGATTTCTTTGCAGCCTCCACGGTCAGAAACTGAAAAACTCATTGCAGATCATTGAGAAGGAGATAGCTGATTTGGAGGCTGAGAATGTAGCATGCATAAGGACTTTGGAACTGAGGAAGAAGCAGTTTGCCCTTCTTTTACATGTGGTAAGTTTACACATAATGTATTCTTTTTATTTCAGTTTGTGTTCTCATTTATGTAATAGTGGCACATAGGTATAAAATGCTCAATTAAAATAATATACTCCCTCCATTCCTACTAAGTATATAGAAAAATGCATGACTATCTACAACATCAAATTTGTTTTGTTAAATCCACCATGAAATGCCTTGATGGTGCATTTATTTGGTATTGTAGATATTAATATCTTTATATAAATTTGGTCAAACTTATTGAAGTTTTTTAGGACAAAACTGTATCTTGGAATGGAGGGAGTATAAATCTGATGCTTTATGAATTTCTGGTTCTGATATCTACAACACATATTTTTGTTAAGAAGTAGCAATCAGATTAGGATTATGATTATATAAGATTGATCTCTAAAATTTACACGAACGGCCACCTAATCTTGTGAAAATTTAATTTTCTACTCATGTCTCATTGGACTGTTTGACTGGCACATATAAATAGTAAGTGTACATTTATTTTCTTTGAAACCATAATAGGAAGTGTACAATTATTTTCTTTGAAACCATAATTCTCATGCAGTTCACTTCTGCAAGAAACCTCCTTGTATAGCATAATCTAATAACTAATTCAACCTTGTGGATTGGTCTACGAATGTTTGTTCATGTGTTTTGTACCTTTTGCAGGTTGAGGAATTGCAGATCTCAGTTGAAGATGAGCAAAAGAGTATAGCAGATGAGCTGAGAGCCATTGCCGGAGAGCAGAAGATGAGCATAGAAGAAGGGAGCGTCGGTGCTTCAGATTCCATGGTTGTTGACTGATCGAGATACATTCACATATGTTGCAGACCTGCTTGCAAAAATCAATCACATGGTTTTTGGACAATATGGAATCCTAACGAGTTGGTAGGAGATGTCTTTTGCTGTGTCTTTGTACCTCATGTAAATTGAGCTGTATGCTAGTATGAATTTAAATTAAAGTACACATTGTTGTGCAACAAAGTCAGTTCTTACTATGTTATGCTCTCCAACTTCGTTTGTGCACTGAATAATGCTGCACCGTCGTTCTGGTTGAAGTGGAATGACCTCACACTCCTAGTAAGAGTTGGTAGGAGATGCCTTTGCGGTATCTTTGTACCTTATGTAAATTGAGCTGTATGCTAGTATGAATTGAAATTAAAGTACACATTGTTGTGCAACAAAGTCAGTTCTTACTATGTTATGCTCTCCAACTTCTTATGTGTGCTGAATAATGCTGCACCGTCGTCTTGGCTGAACTGGAATGACCTCACAATCCTAGTAATAAGTTACAAGATTGACGAATCCATCTATATTATCTCTACTGTAGCTCCTGGCCATGTCTCAAGGTGCATGGGACAAAGAGAGGGCCACAGGGCCCCTGGCCGCTGCTGCTGTTCCATCGGTCGAAGACTCCCTTACCCCTGTAATCAACAGCACTGTGCCAGCCGCTGGTATATGATTGTCATGGGGATGCTTAGAGACAAACAAGGATAGAGGACCAACAGATCGATATAGTACCTCAGATATATAGATGAACTCAGCAAGTACACAATCCACCTCATTTGGATGGTCAACGAGCTACCTAACTGTACACTGGAGGTATTGAAGAAGAAAACGGCAGCTACTTTTTTTTTTTGTGTGTGCTCTAGAGTTCCTTGTCCTTGTGCTGATATGCTCGATACTGCGAATGCTCCGCATTGATTGGCTGAAATTTGAGGATCTTTTGAACGCTCGCGAGATGGTTCACCTCCTTCGAGGGTGCTTCCTTACTGCTGCTAGCTGGTTTGTCTGTGTTTTCTTCAGAAGGTGCCATCTCGTTCACTTGTAGGTTTTGGTTCAGCTTCTGATAACAAAAGGAGAGCAAACATTGAATGAATCTACTATAAAGAACTGTGTTATGTCAAAAAATAAAGTTTTTCAGACTGCACAAATGAGTTTCCCAATGAACCTATGAGTTGACAATGATTATAGCATGACTGACAAAGTACATACTCATGAAAATTATATTCGCTAGTTCAATCATAACCTTGTGACAGGATCAGGACTGAGTTTTATGTGCAAATGCTGCCATCTCATATGAAATGAACATCTGAAATTCTCAGAAGTGGCATAATAACAATGCATCATATTCTGGGAAATTTAACAAGCCATGAAGAAATATTTGTCAAACATAAGGGCAGGGAGGGAGGGTAGTTTCAGAGTTCCTTACCACTTTCAGAGAATAGATAGCAGGTGCCAATAGTTTCTTCATATTCTCCGATCTGTCATTAAACAAGGCATTAGCATTAGGACTAGCGCGCTTGGTAAGCAGGTTAGACCCTGAAACTCTAATAAACGAATTGGGAATTTCAAAGCTTTTTCATTTTGTAAAGAAGAAAATCATTAACATCTTGTTTTCATCGGCAACAAAATAGCTAATCAGTAGTAAATGCATGCTTGGTACTTTAAGGAATTATAAGTAACTTATGGGCTCCAAATACATCTTGTTTCCATCTTGTCCTGTTACAGCATTCAACGGCACAAGCTACAGTTATGACGAATATGTACTCCGTACTCTGATAGTCACCAAGAAGTGAACTCAAACTAGTAATTGAATTTGATCCGGAAGACTGGCAATACAAGTAATGAAGGTATGTAAGACTTGATCTAAAGTTTGAAACACAGTAAATTAGATAGTATGTTCATGAAAATGCAAGAACTTACTAGCATCCAGTGCAGCTAAGCACAAAGTACCTACAGCAGTACAAGACCTGCTACAGTCACAACCCAAAGGCACAGTACAGAGTACAGAAAATAATACCAGAACATGACTTACCATCTTCAGACTGTCACCTACTATCAAGGTAGGCGTCAATGTATCCAAACCCTGACAAACATGATTTTCACAACTTAGTAATCTAATGTAAAGGCAAATGAACAAAAAAAAATCCAGAGATAGCTGTGAGCTAAGTTATCAATGACAAAAGGATATAACAAGTTAATCCCATAGAATAGTAGATCCGGAGAAAAACTAACTTACAGAGAGTACGAACGGAGCACCTGGCGATATGTCTGAATAAAGACAATTGTCCAACTCTAGCAATACATACTCCTCTTCCTCTTCCTCTTCACCAATTTCCTTATCTTTCTCAAGTGCTTTTGACATCTTAAACTGCACGGCAAACAAGACTGTTCAGTCCTATTCAGCACACAGGAGACGAGGCCAACCTATGTTATATACAACAATATGTCAGTACCGTACAAGTATTGTAGCCAATCTAGCGTTGATAGCAATTCAGCAAGATCTTCAACAATGTTCCCCAAAATACCATTTGCGATACAGTGGCAGATCATGTGTATTAATTTATGATAAATCAAAACAATGGCTAATTTTCATTTGCAATGAAACAGAATCAAACCAAAGCTAGATTGCAATGGAGCAATGATTGTACCTAGCAAGACAGCAACAAATAAGAATATGACCCTAACTCATGTCACTTGACCCAAGAATTTTGTAGCCAAGCACACAAAAAGGCGGCGAAAGTCCAAATTCATGACCAGATTTAGTTTCAACCTATTCAGCACAACATTATATGACACGTGACAAAACATTTAGCTTCTATATGGCTTACAAAATCCCAAATTGCTACTGTATTAGTTGATTTCAATAGTAACATGAAACCAATGCCAAAACCCTTCGAAACTAACAGTAACAGCAAGACCATGTTTGTAGCAACAGGTGAGATACTAGCATAGAATGATAACAACACTTCATCCTAAAAATCTACATCTGCTAATTTCATCGCCCGCGACATGCGGGATTGAACCCAGCGTCTAAAAGCCCTCCTCCTTACGTTCCTTTCCGGTCGAGGAATTTGAGCAGGTCGAGCGGGACGCAGTCGTAGACGGGAACGAAGACGGCCTTGACGGCGCCCTCGACGTGGTCGGTGGTCCACGCCCCCGGCGGAACGGCCCCGTGCTCTGCTTGGCGTACGCGTACGCCGCCGCCGCCACCGCCGCCAAGGAACTTGCGCGGCTCGTGACTGAACTGACTAGTTCGTGTGACGGTGAGCTGAAGTGCGAGCCCAAATTAAGCCAGCCCAGTAGACTTTTTAGCCCGTTTCGACCCAACCTAAACCAGCCCAAGATACCCATCCGGTTTGAGTCCAAACCATTCCCAGCCAGCCTTACCACTAGCAAGGCCCACAGCAGTCATGAGCTCACGGGGTGAGGTGAGGGGCAGAAGGATGCAACTTAATAAAGTTTTCTTTGGCACGGCTTGTTAAAAGTGCATCGAGGCCTTTAGTGATTTTTTTTATTAAATGACAACGTGATTAAAGGTCTAACATATTTGCTAAGTGTTGACAGAAAATAAGTTATCTCATAGGTAATTGATGAAAGCCAAAATAATGTGTTGTTATATAAACAATCTAGTTCAAACACAAGACAACAATACAAATGTAATTCATGTAAGGCTTATTCATTGTGGGATTTCGGTGATTCATATGAAAGCAAGCTCGTTGACAAATAATTAATGAGACATGAGGGATTGCATATAGAATGGTCTCACATTCTAAGGCTTACTACATTGAAAGACATCTACACAAATGGTCTAAATGAATGATTCAACACCATGTGTGACTTGATGGCCTGAGATGGTGCAAATAGCAAAAGGAAAGGTTTTGAGGTACTAAGCAAGGGTAAAGGGCAAGCGACGGCTTGACGACCGAGGAACCTAACTAAGGTGAAGAAAGAAGTACTTGCATTTAGTTGGTACCAATCAAATCATGATGGACACATGGAAGTGGAGAATCAAATCTAAAATGTGTTAGTGGAAAGTGACTTGATACATTTGGAGTCAACTCACATTTATTGAATGCAACCAAGTCACATGCTCAAGATGGCTATGCTCAAGGAGAAAATCAAGATCGACATGATTGACACCCTCACTTGATGATCATTGAAGTATATGGCATTTCGGTTTAAGGGAAATCAACTCAAGCGCTTCAAATTTTGTTTTTCATTTGATCTTGAGTTTACAGGTATGTCTACTATTAAGAGGGATACATCATGTTGATAGATATTTATTCATAACTGCTCAAGCCAACCCATGTAAGATTTGAGTGAAAGAGAGAGCCAAGTGCTAACTCGTTGTGCTGCAAGTCCAAATACCGGACGTGTCCGGTATTGGTCTGGTCACAGCATATTCTCTGGTTTTCTCAGGTTGGTTCGTCGGGAGTTCCGACATGAGTCGGGAGTTCTAGAAATCGGGAGTTTCGGCAATCGTCGGGAGTTCCGACACCTCACCGCACCACTGACTTAGTGACCGTTGGTGCTGTGGAGGCGGATGTGTTCGGTATTCCCCAACAGTCACATAACGGCTAGTTTTTTCAAAAGGCTATAAATACCCGTTAGCCTCCACCTTTTGGAGGTTGCTGACTTCCAGACACGTTTTTGAGCCTTGAGAACACTCTCCAACCCTCTCTTAGTGAGTGATTGATTCAAACTTACAAGATCTATCTTGTGGGTTGAGTGAGATTCAAAATTGAGAGCAAGCCACCCTAGAGCACTTGTGCATATTTGTCGATCTCGTGATTTGCATTTGTTACTCTTAGACTCTTCGGTCCTAGACGGCTAGGCGTCACCAGAGAGCACCCAAGAGATTGTGATGTGCTTCGGAAAATTTGTAACGGTTCGATTCCATCGCCGCAAGGGAAGGGATCATCTAGTGGAAGGAGGAAAAGGAGTTGAAAAAGATTCTGGCTAGAGTGGCCTTCGTGGTCCTTTAGAGCTGACCTTTGTTGAGTAGCTCGTAGCCCCCTCAACGGAGAGTAGATCTCGACGGAGGCCGAACTTCGGTAAAACAATTCTTGTGTCTCGATCTCTCTTTTCACTTGGCATTAGTGATCTACGTGTGTTGCTTGAGCTTGTTGATAGGTCACTAGTAGGTGCCAGCAACGTGATTTGAAAAGAGAAGTCGATTGGAACTAACTGAGGACTGATCCAGCCAGCCCGTGAATACCGGACGTGTCCGGTATTTGGACCCTGCGCTGAATTCATTCACTTGTTGCACTAACTTGTTTGTTACAGAGTTCTAGCTCCTAGATTTATTCTTTATACCTTGTATTCTCTGTTGGCAAACTCGTGAGGGGTTTATTTCTCTGATTTGGAGTTTCCAAGTATCCAACACTAATTGTTTCCGCGTTTTAAAGGGTTAAATTTTAGAAACGCCTATTTACCCACCTCTAGACGGCATCATCGGTCCTTTCATTTCTAGAGGGGCTTTATCAATAGTTTATATGGCTTCAGAAAAGCACTACCAAACATTTACGTGAGAAAATGGCTTGTCAAGTTAAAATTAAACAAAAAAAAGTGACGAAGCCAAAGCCATTTTGGCTTAGAAACTAAAGCCACAAAAGATGTGATTTTTTTCTAGTTTCACTATTTTTTGAGAAGCCAAAGCCTTGCTTGAGAGGGTCTAAGTGTTTAACAACCGTGCAAAAAGAAAGCTAAACCAATGACATCCTACCTGCACAAATACACAATCTAGTTGCAGAGTGTCGTTGCAATAACCCACGAAGAGTCCGTTGCGATCGTTGCAATAAGTCAGCCGAGAGCACCTCATGAGCACTGACTGAGCATTGGGATTTCTCCAAGCCACAGTTTATCACCATCAGTAGTTGTTCATGACATTTCCTGATTTTTAGCTACGAGACTCAGTAAACAGTTTGCAGTATGATAAACAAGATACATACACAAGACTACATAACAAGCACCAGGCATGAAGGGTTACACTAAATATAATATCGTGTATGGATGATGTCATCACATCATAGAAGTACCAGGTGGAGGACGAGAGCCCCCGCGTCGCCCCGCACAGGTGACTCGGGCGGCGGCCAACCCTAGCCGCCACCGCCGACCCACCATCCCCTCCCCTCCCCCCTCGCCGCTGCCGGAGGGGACTGCCGGGATGCTCGCGCGGCTCCCAAGGATGGCGGCGGCGGGGCCTTGTCCCAAGCAGGCGGCGAATCAGCTGGAGCTGCTACGCCCTCTTGCGCTCGGAGCACAGATGGTGCTCTGGCAGCGGTGTGGCTCTTCTACACATGCGTGCGGTTTGGCCGCCGGCAAGCCGGTGGCGGGGCCGTGCGTCCGCGGGTTCCCCCCCATGTGCCTCTTGTTGAGGAGGGCAGAGCGCCGATTCGACAGTGTGGTGGCATCGTCCATGCCTGTTTCCGCGGTGGCGGTGTCGGGGCGTCAGCTCTGGAGACCTGATGAGGTGACTGCTATTGTTGCCTCGTCGGCGAGGTGTCTTGCAAGGGTTCTGGGCGAAAGCTCAACCCAACTCTCGGTTGGGCCAGCGACGAGGGACGCCATCGGGCCGTTTCTCCTTCTTGAAGAACCTCTTGCTGCCGGCAGGCCAATGCAACTTCTCCTCACACAAGACTGGGTGAAAGCCTTGCTAAGCTAGTGCTTAGCCGACGATGATTACATCTCTTCGTCATTCACATCCTTGGAGGCATGTCGAAGAATTCTTGTGTTGTGGTACTGTAGTCTTCTCATTGTCTGGTGCTTTGTGGTTTTGCCACGTTTGTCCTTGTGCGGGGGCACGTTGTTGTTGCCCTAAATATTCCTTATAAAAAGTCTATATTTATCAACTTCTAAAAATATTTTAGGAGAAAAAAAAGAAGTTCATCTCCAATAGTTCCTAATATTTGACTTCTAAAAAATCAAATGCTGGTCCCATTTGTCGTTTTTTTTTCTGCGGTCTTCTTTTTTTCCACGCGAACCTCTTCGTCGCCGAGCGTATCCACGCCGTGGCCGCCTGCTGCTGCTCTTCCTCCCTTCGCTCCTACTCTTCCACTGCGCACGTCGCCGCCGCCGCCTCCCAGTCCCAGCGCCGCCGTGTACCCTGTCGCGCTGGTGCCGAGAAACACCTGCAGCCAGCTCGAGGCGCGCCTCACGGACGCATACGAGCCGCCCCTGGAGTCGCCGCAATGCAGCGCGGGTAGCAACGAGCGCGGCCGGTGGTTCCAGCTGGGGAGGAACGCCACGGCCATGGATGACCCCGCCGACACTGAAGCCAACAAGTAAGCACTGAGCCCGGCCGTCGTCGCCGGCCTACCCTACATACAGTCGCAAACACGCATGTGTTGACCAGCCAGACCTGTACCTATATGGCCCGGCTATACACAGAGACCTGTGCATGAGGAGGCTCGTCGAGGCACTGCAGCACGCGGGGTACCGCGACGGCGAGACACTGTTCGGCGCGCCGTACGACTTCCGTCAGGCTCCGAGCGTGGCTTCATCCGCGTAAAGTTACGCGGAAGGGGGAGAAATTTTTCAAGTCCTAAAAGATTAGAAGTAAATATTATGAGTTGCTGGAGAGGTTTTTTTTCTATCTTTCTAAAAAATAAGAATTAGAAGGATATTTAGAGAACTCTTGAAGATGCTCTTAGTGGATAGGCCACAACCTCGCCCTTATGCTAGGGCTCATGTACAAAATGACTTGTTAAACTATGCCAATATATGAAATCAGGTGGGGAACGTCTCCCCCGTCGACCTTAAAAAAAACATCGTGTATGGATAAATTAAACATGTGTATTTGCACTTACAATTCATGAACAATGTTTTGATGTACAACAGGGGTTAGACTTCAGACGTGTCAATACATGGACGAATAAAAAATGAAATACGAATTATTACATTTCTCCAGTTATACACCAGTTAACTGACTGATGCACGAAAGACTATGCATGCATCTCCATGCACCAGCAGGCACCCGATACGACTTTACTAGTAGCATAATACGAGCCGTACTTTTTACATGAGTCATGATCAGAAAGACCTTTCAGTGATTGCACCCTGGAGTGCGGATGGCCAATGCGGATGTCAGAAACGCCCATTTCCCACTAAAAAACATGCTGGAAATGCCTTTGCTCCTCTTGGAGAGTGGAAGAAGCCACGCATGGCTTCCATCACAACCGGGCCCCGGCTTCATCACCTTCTTCGCCTTCTTGACCAACTCTTGCTCGCTAGTCATCGTCGTGGGGCCTGTGACTTCCGTTGGTGTTAAGAGGAGCGACGACACTATCTGCAGCAGCTCACTCACTGCCGCTGTTTCTTTGCTGCCCAAGGACCTTTGGTATGATGATGAA